CACCACTTCGTAAGAGTATAATAATTTCCACCATTAGTAATGAGTCATTATTAATGACAAATTCGAAAACTTGGAGAGGTACGCAGATTATGTTCATGCTATACATGGTTAAGTTTGTCTGAAAAAAGGTTTCTATTGTTCGTAAATTTTGCGCAAACGAGTTGTGTTTTTATGCACAAATGAGTTAAAAAAGACGAATGTGCGCAAATAAGTTGCAGCCGATTTATTCTTTGGCTAAAATAATTATTAGGTAATTTACTCTCTTAGATTTTTATATAGTGTACATTGCGTCGTAACGATATAAGAATTTAATAATATATCAATCGTTTTTTATAATAATATATACGTTGATTAATCAACGGAATTAAGGCTGTAGCAAAATATTCAAAAGAAGTAAGTGGAATAAAATATTTATAGATACGATTTTATATATTTTAAATTAATTTTGAATGCCAACATTATATCGTCATCTGGGTATTGGCTGATTCGTTTATTTGCGCCATCCTTCTATTTAGACTTAATACAAGCATTTGATTTTATAAACGTATTCTGAAAATTGAATATATATATATATATTTATTCTTTTTTATTAATTTATACCAATAAAAATGGTTGTTGTAAATATGAAGTTAAGAAGGTTTTACGTGATTAGATTTTCACGCTTATGAAGGAAGAAGAATAAAAATATTTCTTGTAACTCAATTTTAATTTTGAAATTAATTTGATTTCATTAGCCTCGTTTTTATGTTTTGTAAGAATTGCTTTTTTATATTTTTTAATCATTATTCCTTCAAATTACAAATTAATTTTAAGAAATAGAATATGTTTATATATAAACATATAAGTAACTTATAAGTTATAAGTTCATAAAGTACCGCCAAACGTTAGTAATTATGTAGTTAGGTCATTTTACTACCTCAAATACTGAAAATCTATTTCTTACTAAAGACTGAGAAGAAACTAAGAGAATAAAAAATTCAGATATTTTTTCAAGATTAGAATTAAATGATCAATTTTAAGTGCATTTTTGTCTCACTTTTGGCTTTATTCACTGTCGCTTATATACAATTTTTTTTTCGGGCTATAATTAATGGCATGTGAGTACGTACACTAGAATATTCTTAAGAATCATCATAAGAATATACAAAAAAAAAAAGAACAATGCACAGATCAAAATTATTATGTGATTCGATGAATGCCAGTCGGGCCTTAAGAAATTATTAATCATGAATACATTTTATTTGCAGATATCTATATACCGAGATATTAGCCAATTATTGGAAAACATCATTCGAGTTTAGGTAAATGTAATTTATTGTTTTACTTAAATTTTTACATATATTTTCAGGAATGTTGTACAAAAAATGCATAATGATACTTATTTATATATTTATTTATTAAATAATTAATTTAATTTGTCCATGACCATTTGCTACTTGTAATATTAGATTTTCATTTTTATCGCGTCATCCCTGTAAATTTTTTTCATGTATCATTTTTAGTATATAAAATTATTTAAATTTATGTTCATTTAGCTTTATAATTATTTTGGTTTTGTTAGTGTTGAGTGAAACGAATATTTAATTTTTCGTAACTTTAAAATCCACTTTAGTAGAAATTTGGTTTCGGGAGATAAAATAACATTTTTTACCCATGCAGACCAAAATGTGTTCCGTGAAATTTAAGGATTCCGTGGGGTAATCTAAATATTTTCACAAGATCGATGTGAATATTAATAATAGTAACTGTAATGAACAGTAATCATGAACTATATTTAAAACATTTTTTGGAACATTGGTTTTTCAATAAACAACTGATTAACTGAAGTGAAGTTGGAGTTAGAGACATGGAAACATAAACTATTTCCTAAGGGTTCTGCAGTCGAAAAAAGAGAATTAGGGAACCATTGTTAACCACTGTTAAACCTACATTTTATAGTTGTTATTTAGTAATTTGCCTAAGCGAGCATTATGCCCTGTGATAGTAGAACCTGCAACAATAATGTCATCTTGGAATATACCTATGCCCTCATGACCTAATGTGGAAGTTTCTATAGCTTTTTGGAACTCCCCTGCCGAAGATTTTATTCCAAAAGGATTACGGGTAAAGCTAAACATGAATGCGTGTTAATAGTGGTATATTTGCAATTAGTATCTTTAATAACCATTTGTTGGTATTTATCTTTTAAATCTATCTGTCAAAAATATTTTGAACCACTGACATTTGCATATAAATGTTCTATTTTTAAAAGAGGGTATTCAGTCCCTTCTAATACCGGATTTATTGTTACTTTAAAATCACCGCGAATTCTAACCATGCCATCTGATTTTAATATTGGTACTATTGGAGTTGTCCATTTATTATGGTCAACTGAAACCAAAATATTGCTTATAAACTAAACGCTCAATTTCGATTTAAATTTTGTCTTTTAATCCTAAATAAATAGACCTAGGTTTGTAAAATTTAAGGACTGTCCCAGCTTTGATATTTAATGAAATTTTGTATTTTTTAAACGCACTTATTTCATCTTTAAAATTATTGTTATTTTTGCTTATTATGCTTATAACCAGAGCTCGGAAGTTCTGATGAATACATATTTTTCTTGGTTCATCCAAAAACATCCAAAGTAAGATACAAATATGTTTCACGCTACTCGGATATCATACACAAAATTTAATTTTGCTATTTTTGACACATTTGCGGGTTTTATTGCTATTTTGCTAATTTAGGGTTAACAGTGCTATTTTTGGGTATATTTTCACATAATACAGGAAATAATCATGTTTTGTTGATAATAATGGTATTTACTTGATTATATTTTTAAAAATATTTGAATTATTGGAAATAAATAGACCTCATCAAATATTATTTTACGTTTTCATCGACACTTTGATGTATTAATAGTTAGTGACGTCATCGTTATTCCCTTATTATATCATTACATTAGATTATCAAACATTTTAATAATCCAGGGTATTTACAAGGAATATATATAAAATAATTCAATTATACGTACACTTTTACAAATAACAAACAAACAATAACAAACAAACAAATGTTATATTTAAGTAATTTAATATTTTTGTTGACAGTTTATAATTCAACCAGTCCAGACTGTGTCTATAAGCTCAAACATTTGTAAAATTACATTTAATTTTTTTTCTAATAAATTTCTAATTTTTTTATGTTTAATGCATATTTTTTGATTTTTCGTGCTATTTAGAGTTGTAAGTGCATATTTAAAAACTAAAAATTAATATTTTTATTGCAATAACTTTCGAGCCCTTCTTATAATACTTACGCCATTTTAAATTTTAAACAAAGTAAAATATTTTATATTTTTTATATCATTTCGACCTATTAATGAAGGACCACCATTGTTAATTACATAAAAACACACTGTAAATGTGATATACCGAATCGAAAAATATTTTCCCATCAGTTTAATATCGTTGCCGACGTAATCAGATAGCGAAATATAATTTTTTTATTCGATATGACGAAACAATTGACGATATAATCTTTTTGAAATCACGCTATGTTGTGAAACCGTATCAATTTCGAAGCTTACATTATTGTTTTCTATTATTAAATTTACCGTAAACGGTTTCATTGCTTTATTTTGAGAATATTAATCGATTATAGAAAAATAAAGTATTCGAAATATCATAACTAACTGTTTCGTCATCATCATTATGATTATATAAAAATTTATTTTGTATTTTATTATTTTTCATTTCTTTTTTACCCTTTTTACATACAGTTGACAAATGACCCTTTCCACCGCAATCGTTACATTGGTAGTCCTTGTATCTGTAGTCATTTTGAAGGTGATTGGAATGGCCACAAATCCCGCATTTGATTTTTTATGTGCTGAAACCAGCTAAGCTCTTGACTATATCCATTATTTTTCTTCTAGTACCTACTTCAAGTTATCGTATTCTTCTTTTTTCTAGCCAATTTTATCATTTATTGCTGCTTCTATGGTTGTAGTATGGTTGGTAGTATTAACTTATGGTTGTCGCAATTTGAATTAGACTTAGATATGTAACTCCAACTTTTGAGGCATTTTCTTTAAAACAAACGATCTTGAATTGGTCGTGAAATCATAACGACAGCAAATATGTCTTGAATAACTATTGTTAGTTCTGATAAAAAACCACATTTTGAAGCAAAATTTTTGACACGTGCTCTCCATTGTCACACAGATTCTTTTTGTTTTTGTTTAGCTTGATAAAATGCCATAAAGTTTCTAGTCACAGAGTACATTTTTATTGGTTTTAAATATTCGTTCAAACTTTTAATTAGAATGTCATACTCAACATCGTTACTAATGATTCGTTTGACGTACTAGGAATACGTAGACTAAAAAGTACTTTGAGAATTTTCACATTGGTCGATAATAATAATATTGCTCTTTTTTGAATATTGTTTTCAATTGAATTTGTCAATATAAATTTGTCAATTTTGATTTGAAAATTCCAGGTGACCCAATAACTTGATTGAAGTTCGTTATGGATACTGTCTTAAGATTTGTAATTTTGTATGAGTATGAATACAATACTTGAAACTTTTAATGCATTAGGTAGTGATTACGATTAAATTATTATTTTCTTTGTCGCCAATTTGTTATGTATCACTTATATAAATAATAACATAAACGTGTTAATAGACCTTTATTGTTAACAGTTCAAATCGTAATGACGTATATTATAATTGTACACGCTTATGACCGATGGAACTTCTCCACCGATCGTAATATGATACTTATGATTATTGTTACCTAATATAAACGCTATGTGTAATATATAATATAAATTTTGAATATGTAACAATTATTAAAAAATAACATTTTTTATCTTAATTAATAAACATACTCATATTTCGAAAATGTATTATTTTTTTTCCAAACCAATCAAGTCTACAATTATTTTTTCATGGAACCAACAAAATCATCCGATAAAAATATAAAAAAAGTAATGCTTAAAACTAGAAAAAAAATGAATATTTCAAATAATGCTTCTGTGTTTCCTGTTAAGTGAGAATAAAAAAAAAAAAAAATTAATTATTATATAATATTTTTTAAAGCTGAATTGTTTTGTTTTAGATTATGGAATAATCATATACTAAATTCATCAGTACCGTTGACATCTGAAAGTAAACGATTTCTTAAAATCCTCAAGTTATTATTTATCTATTAATATTAATTAATATATTCTTTTTATAATAGATACACAAAAAACACATAGTGTTAATGTCCATCAAAAGATAGATCTTAGTTCAGAAAAACTTCTGAAATTAAATCCGTATCCAATCTTAAGTACTGATCAAAGCTTAAAAAATTTAAATATCTCAAATAAATTATCCAAATCTCCCCATTCAATAGGTAAGACAATTAATAGGTAACTTGTTACCTAAAATTAATGTATGTATGTAGCTTATTTGTTTAAAAAATACCTATTTTATATATTCATATGCTAATTTTGTTTCTATCTGAACTAATATATTGTAATTGTTAGTTATCATTTTAAACATAAAAATTAGTTTATAAACCTACAGTTAATAAAATCATATATTTTAAATTAATATTTGAAAAATTATCTTGTTGATGTTAACTATGGCAGTGTTAAATGCATATTAATTTATATATGGTTTTTGTAATAGATACTCAAAAAATACTTGGTGCTAATCTACATCAAAAGGTAGATCTTAGTTCAGAAAGACTTCTGAAATTAGCTCCGTATCCAATCTTAGGTGTGGATTCTAGCTTGAAAAATTTAAATTTCTCAAATCAATTATCCAAATCTCACCATTCAATAGGTATGATAATCAATAGGTAACATGTTACCCAAATTTAATGTATATATGTAGCTTATTTGTTTAATAAATACTTATTTTTTATATTTACATGATAATTTTGTTTCTAACTGAACTAATATATTTTAATTGTTGTGTTAATTTTAAACATAAAAATTAGCTTATAAACCTACATTAAATAAAATCATGCATTTTAAATTAAAATTCCAAATTAATTGAAAAAATATGTTATTGATGTTAGTTATGGCAATATTAAATTCATAAAATTAATTATGGTATAGGAAATCACGAGCAAAAAAATATTTCTGAACAACATTCAGGCTTAAGATTAAGTTTATTTTCAAATATGCCTCCATACATACGATTTTCTTCGCATGATGTAAAAGGTAATATGAAAATTATAAAAAATGTTTGATATTAAAATCTAAATACAATAGTATTTTTATTATAGGTGAATCATTTCCAATAGATTTGCAAATACTACTGAAATGGGAATTAAGTTCCATCACTCCATATATTGTACGTCAAATTATTCAAAACAGTGGTTTAAAATTAGTGAGAAGTGAGTGTAGATTAGGTAATAATTTAAACAATCCTTCTTTCACTAATAATCAATATAATCAAAATGATATTTAATTACAAAATCATTTTGGTGTTACACCATCTACTGTTTATGATTTTTGTGGCTCCACTTCTATAGGTATCAACTAGGGATGGGCAAAATTGTTTGAACATCGATATTAAATGTATTGATACATCTATTTCTAAAATATCGATGTATTCGATGTATCGGTGAAAAACCATCGATGTTTAAGAACATCAAGTTTAAAAACATCGAAAAATGTGTTTCCCCTCTAGAGCTGCCATCTGTTGCACACCTTATTATCTGTATGTACAGTTTACTATTTTCCAGATTAAATAATAAATCCAAGAGTTAAAATACTATTGTTTAACTTATGTTTTTTAAATACATATTAAATACTTACAATAAGGACTTGTCAGTTCATATATTTGTATGTTTTTTTTTTGCTACATTGGAAAATATGCTCATTGAGATAAAAATCCGTTTCATGTCAATGGTAATAAAAATCTAAAGTTTAATAGAGCATATTTTTGCATGTTTTGTGTGTATTGGCATATTTGGCATATAGTTGATTTTTTTTTTGCAAATGCGCATATTAATTTTTGTAAATTCAGCAAAATCGTTTTTCATGGAAGTCAAAAAAAAAAATTAGATCAATAAATGTTTGAATTCATTCTTATTTACTTTTCCAAACTTGTTTATAAAATCTTAATATTTTATCAGTATTCTAATTTTTTCTGACATTAGGTTTTATAAGATCAAAGCAGTATCACGGAAACAATGTTATCTCGTATCACTATTACTCTCCTCCTATTGATGTGTTCATTGCAATCTATCTATTTTCGTCGCAACGTGTGTTCATTAATTAAAATTTTAATAAAATCGAACCGAAGAAAAAATATAACTTTTAAAAATATGAATGGATAATTCTTATTATTTTAAAAAATGCTTATACATCTTTTTTCGTACATAGTTAAGGATTTTTAATGCATATTGAAACCAAATGTTAGTGAATAGTTATTTATACGGTTTTTAGTGCATGAACTTACGAAATACAAAAAAAAAAAAATTCGAACATTGATATTTCAAGGTAAAACATCAATGTTTTTTGCCTATCCCTATTACCTACCCAATGCATTCATGATATTACCTCAATCTCATGAGTTTGTTTTTCATAATTTTCCTAACCTTTCCTTTTAGTCTTAATATAGAGTAGATAGGGGTAAGATGACGCACTTTTTTATGAAATGTGTTAAAATAATATAGTAATATATTTTTGGTACAAAAAAAAGTTATTTTTGTATAGCAAATATTCATTTCATTTCATTTTTTCAATTAAAGCTTTAATATTTTGAATAGATTAGTTTTAAAACATAGAAAACTTAACATAAGTCATACGCGCAATCTAACCCCGACATTGGGGTAAGATTGCGCACATGGTGGGGTAAAAAGGCGTAAGCAAAAGTCTTTATTTTAAATTAATCTTTTTACGGAAAATAAATTCTTAGATATATATTTTATCAATTGTAATCACTACAATTTATTATAAATGTCTATTTTAATTATATTTGCTTATAAAATTAATAATAAGTGAAGACTTTTTAAGACATATTATATAGTTATATTTATATTAAAAATGATAACATGTTAAAACGTAACAACACAAATAAAAACTATTGAACAATTTATTGAACTTTGTTTAATCATAGTATAACAAAAACAACAAAATAAACAAAATAGATAGGTACTACAATAGTAGATCTAACCAAACAAAAATTATCAATATTTCAGTTCATGCATTTTAAAACTAAATAAAATAAATAGGTAATACCTTACATAGTTTCTAAAAATTTACAAAAGTATTTAGAATATTTAGATGCTCTAATTGTAAATAATATGAATTTTATAATAACTATGTAGATACTAATATATATAATTATAATTTCAAACATATAAATATGTAGGTGTCAACATCATATGCTGAAATGCGCACTTTTACCCCAAATCGAATACGCCATCTTACCCCAATATACTTTTCATTGTTGAAAAAATTGTATAAAAATAAGTATTCGTGTTATCAGAACATAATACATGATAAATAATAGCCAATATAGTGCAGAAATAGTAAAAAAAAAAAAAAAGATTTCTATATAAATAACTCTTCCAGTGTGAATAACTAATTTTATTCTATCTAAATATTACATCAAAAAGTAAAAAATTAAAACTTATCTCATTTCGAGCTGTTGTTCAAGTAAATCTCGTTTTTTTTTTTTTTTTGTGTGTGTTACTGATAAACATAGCTGGTATATTGATAAACACTAAACAGTATGTCCATAATTAAAGATCTTAATAATTTATTGATAATAGTTTATCTTATCCCATGCGTCATCTTACCCTAGGTTACTCTAATATTAAATATTATTTAATTCCACATTTTAATTTAGAAACTATTGATTATTTTGGAACCTGGGGTAAACATATGAAATCGCTATATTTTAAAAATCTTCGTGATCAACAAAAGTTTAATCATATTCCGGGAACATTTGAAATTGGACGTAAAGATAGATTATGGAAAAACTTGTATAGGCTCATGTCGATATATGGAAATGATCAATTTGGTTTTATACCTACATCATACATATTACCTCGTGATGTTAATATCTTAAGAGAAGTCTGGAAAGAAAATGATGAAGATAAATGGATTGTTAAACCGGTATTTATTAAACTATTTATCTATTTTATAATATTTGTGAATAAACATTTTTCGTTTAACCTAACCTAATTTTGCTATAGCCAGCATCTGCTAGAGGAACTGGAATTCATGTGATATCAAAATGGAGTCAAATACCAAAGAAAGTACCTTTAGTTGTACAAAGGTATATTGACAATCCTTATTTAATCAATGATACAAAATTTGATTTAAGACTATATATACTCATTACTTCAATTAATCCACTCCGGATTTATTTGTATGACAATGGGCTTGTACGATTTGCTTCAGGTTAAATATCTTTCACTAAGTTCTAGACATTTTCACATATTTATTTTTAATTTCAGTCAAGTACTCATCTGATCTTACTACTATATCTGATCGATATATGCATTTGACCAACTACAGTATTAACAGACTCAGTAGTCAGTATACAGAAAATGAAGATCCTAATGCATGTCAAGGGCATAAATGGTAAATTATTTTTAGAAAAATAATATTTATCTTAATCATTTTTAAACCTTTATTCATTATGTAGTGCTTGTTTATTAATTATAATTATTTTAGGACATTGCGATCATTGTGGAAATACATGGAAAGAGAGCATAAAATTGATGTTAAAAAGTTATGGGATAGTTTGGCCGATTTAGTAGTTAAAACAGTAATCAGCGGAGAATTTCCTATAAGCCAAATGTGTTCATCAAACCTAGGTAGCAGATACAATGCATATGAGTTATTCGGAATCGATGTTTTGTTTGATGAATATCTTAAACCTTGGATATTTGAAGTAAAGTAAATTTAAATTTAACTTTTTGAAGATTGAATTATTGAATTGTTTTATTTATTAGGTTAACATATCTCCTTCTCTACATACTTCTTCTCCACTTGATGTGACAGTCAAAGGGCCATTAATTAAAAACTTATTGAATATGGTTGGTTACCATATACCAAACAAAATGTCACTTATTACACATGTAAGTTAAAGTAGTTTATAAAAATATAAGTTATAATAATTATAACTTACGTTTTTTTAATATTTAATTATTAAATATTAAAAATTTAATTTTTAACTGCTTAAAATTTTAGAATACATTAATTGAGGTGTTAGGAGTCAATTCACCACTATGTTATGATAAAAGAATATATACATTTAATTTATCAGCTAAAGAAAAAAAAAAACAAGAATATTTTGCAAATGTTAAATCTAGAGAAGAAGTATTAAATTATTAATAACATTTAATTAAGAATTAATACATTTTGTTTTAAATTTGTTTAGTATATTAACACCATATTAGAAGATCTTTTACCAGACGATGTTCGACATCTTATTACATATGAAGATGAACTCAACGAAATTGGATCGTATGTATTTAGTTGATAAAATATATAAATTTTATATTATTGTATATATTATATACGAGTACATGATATTGTATTTAAGGTAAAGCATTTTTAAATTTTAGATTTCAAAAAGTATTTCCAACTACTTCAACTTTTAAATATCATGAATTTTTTGATGGTCCCCGGTATTATAATATGCTTTTTGATGCATGGGAATGTAAATACAGCGAGAAAAGAGAAGAAGGTAAGATTTAAATTTTTATTTTATTGTATGTTTTACATAAATATAATAGTTATTATTTTAGCTATATTATTATTTTCAGCGGAATTTTAATAACTCATAAATAAATTTCAGAAAAAAAGTATTTCCTTTGAATTTTCTGCTATCTATATTTTTGATAACTCAAATACATTTTTCTTATATTTGTCTTTGAACTTTAAAGTTCTTCTATATTCCCATAGTTAAATTGAATCAATTCCAATAATTTATATTTTCTTAGATGAGATTATTTTATATTTAAGGTATTGCTGTGTTGGAAAAATTTTGTCAGTTACAAGTTCATTTAGAAGTGTCAGACGTTAATGATCAACAACAATCAAAAGTAATATTTTAACCAATTTAAATTAAATATAAGTTATAAATGTTGTAATCATGCTTAATGGAAATCTCGGAATTTTTCTTTGTAGCCCATATGATATATTTCTTTGGTCCACACCAATGGCGTAGCCAGGATTTCTAAAAGGGGGGTACAATAAAAAATTTTTATGAAAATTGTATTGTTTTCACTACTTAAAAAATAAAATTAAAAAAATAGAAATAATTCGTATTAATACTTATTATTTGACTACATATTATACTAAATACATCTTGCTGAAATGAATAAAATATATAACAACTTTTTATTTATAATCATTTATTGACAAAAACTTAATAAATATAAGGTATAAAAATATTTTTAATTTTAGGTATTATAATGTACAATTACTCCAATCTACAACTTTCATCCAGGGACTGGAACCTTGATGTTTTTACTGGTTCTGGAACTGATTCCGGTTATTTGAAAATTAAGAAATTAGGTTCCGGTTCTGATTCCGGTTCTTAAATAATACAACATTTCGGTTCCAATTCTTAGATATTTAAGTTACATAAAAAAAATTTCAAATTGAGAAAATTAAAAATTTATTTAAAACAATAATTTTGTTAGTTTAAAGTTGTAATTGACATACAATGGTTGCTTTTTAGATATTTAATTGTAACCATTAATTTGTTATTACTCATTAATGAATTATTTAAGTCTCCCAATTTTTTTTTTTTTACCATAATCCATTAACGAAACTTTAAGTGTCCAAAAATTAATTATTTAAATAATAAAAAAACAAAATTTTTAACAAAATTTTTTTCACTTCTATTGTGCATGAACATGTTGTATAGGTTGATTGGTCTTTTATTTTACTAAAGCTAAAATATTTGTGAACTATTGAAGTTGACAGTCGACTCATTTTTCAAAAATAATTTATGTGTTTATTATTAAAAATATTTTAGACTTTCTTCAATTCTTCTTTCAGTCACTACACCAGTCACTAAATATACATAAAACAGACCTGATGGTCATAGTGCATACTGCATAGAGATGATCGGGATGTGTAGTAGTGTGACGTGGAGGAGTAGCTTATCACGTGGTGTCGGTTGCTGTTGTGCTAAAAATAAAATATTTTTTCCAATAAAATGAGAAATTGATAAACCATAGTCTATATTATACCACATGATGTTATCTGACTTTTGTATGAATCTGGTATTATTTGGGTTATTATTGTTATTATTAAGGCCTCGACAGTCGGTACGCTGTGTATTTTCGCCATTTGTCAGAACTCGTTGTGTTTTTACGTTCGTTTCTTATACGTACGCTCGTATGTATAAAATACAAAAATTACAAGACATATATTTATCAAATCTTTATATTTTTCCTAATAAAGATAAAAACAAAAAGTCATGTTTATTGTTAAAATATTAGATAAATGGTTTTAGTTATATCTGCTGTAATTTTATAAAATCGAAAAACTCTGAAGAACCGAAAAGAACCAAAAATATTTTTAATTTTTTTAAATGGGTTCCGGTTCCGATTCCGGTTCTACGAAATAAAGAATATAGGTTCCAAAAAAGGTTCCGTTCCCTAAGTTTTCTTCAAGAACCGGTACTGGAACTGGTTCTTTCGGTTCCGGTTCTAGTCCCTGCTTTCAACCCTCCTAGGTTATTTTTTAATAAAAGCAGTTAGTACTTCTTTTTCTATGTTTTCAAATGCTTTCATAGGAATGTTATTATGTCTTAAAAAACATTGATAAAAACATGATTGCCTACTTATTATATCCATTAAATAAGTTATAAGATAAGACATAATTTGTAAATTTAATAGAAACTTTGTAATTTGTCTATATATTATAGTCATTTTTCTGGAATTATATATTTTATTTGTTCCAACATATAATTTACTAAATTAAGGTTTTGATGATAAATATGCTAGATACTTTAACTAAGTAACTATCCTTTATGTACTCGTATTCATTATTTTACTAATTTTATTTTAAATAAAATGTTTATAAATGCATGGGTTTTTAATTTTTTTTTTTTTTATTAGACTTGTGATACTTTCCAAGATACACAAATGGAAGTTGAAAGATCAGACACTGATAAAATTAATGACCATCAACAAGCAGTCATTAGGTAATCCGATAACTGATTATTACCAGTTAATAATTTTTTAAATTATTATATCCGGGTTTTTATAAAAATTATGTTTGAAAATATAATGAATACCATACATTTTATTTATTATTTTTAGTTATTTATAATTATTAATATTGCTTATTTTAAGGTATCCTATTTATATTTTGGCTTTTGTGGAGTTATAAACTATTATTATGAAGTCTGTAATTAACAACTATACGTCAATTAAGAAATAAATTCTTGACAGTTCAAGATAGAGCACTTTTTTGTAAATGTTTTGTTGAATGGTTACTTTATGATTTTTATTTAAGTTTATTTAGGTACAGTGATGAGAATATTTATTTAAATAAAAAATATATAACTATTATCAACAGCATCTACATAATTAATATAAAAAATATTTGAAAGCTTAAAAAAAATGTGTACATCTACAAAAGAAATTCAAATAAAGTATTATGTATATTATTGTAATTATTGTTTTTAAAGATCAGTTATTAAATATAAATATTTACTAGCTTTAATATATTCAATATTTAATAATAATACAATACAATTGATTATGATTTATAGGTATAATTATTTAAAATTATTTAGGAATGGTTTACTGATTTTGTTCTTGTGATATCACAATTATGTGGTATATTTTATTAAAATTATCTGTTGTTCAACCTTACAATCGTAAAAATAAATGCTATGTCTATATGAAGAATGCTAATATTAAAATGAGAGAACATTTTATATCTGATGTGTATGAGTAATGATGTTACTTAATATATTTAATAATTTTGGAATACATTTCTATAAAATAATCAGGGCCTGGGAGAGGGTGGAACAGGGAGGGCTAGGGCCCCAGGGCCCATACGTCCGAGAGAGCCCGTCGTTAACCTTGGCCAAATAAGTGCAAGTAAAGGGGACCTGGAATAAATCAGTCTCGGGGCCCTCAAAAGTTCTTGCCAGCCCTGAAAATAATATACAATCTTTGCTGTACCAACCCTCAAAATTATATTTAATTCTAAAATATATTTATTTTTTGTTACTAATAAAACAATAATTAAATATATGTTAATTGTTTGAGCTAATGCAGGGGTCACAAACCAGTCGATTTTTCTAGGAATATAGATCGATTGCTATAAAAATTAATTTTACCACCATCGGTCGATCACGTAATAAATAATCGGGATATCGGGAATATTAGATTATTATTATTACGAAGGAACAATAAATATGTTAATTATTTTTTTGGAATTTAAACCTTTTTTTTTTTACTTATCAAACAAATCTCTTCCTAAATACCTAAATTCTTCTGGATTTCGATCACTTGGGATTCAAAATTTCAAGTATAGCTTACTTGTTCGAAAAGGTTAACGATCCCTGATCTAATGTAATGAAGTAAAATAATGCTTTTCCTCCAAATTTTATTCATTATTCGTTAGATGTTAGTCATTTGATGTTAACATCTCTGCACAGTGAACAAGTAGGAATAACAATTCAGTTACTATAGACATTTTTAAAAACAATTTGTAAATTGAAATTGAAAATTATATTAAATTATTTTTATTTCTCAATTCTACTTATTCTACTATATATATGTGAGTGTAGTGTGTAAAATCTGTAGAATTAAATCATAGATTAAATAAAACTTATTTAATCTGTGATTAGATTAAATGATCAGATAGTGGCGATCGGCGGATCCGTTGTTCGATCACCGCTCGCCATGACGCGCCGTTTAACAAAAATGTCTCTTTTACGATTTTTAATATTCGAAAAACTAAACGTCATATTGAAATTCTGATATTTGCATCGTCTTAAACACATAAAACCACACAGTTTTATTTCAATAATAATTTTTTAGTTTTAGGATTCATATTCAATTGTTCAGAACAACAAAATTGTAGAAAAACTCAACAATAACGAACTTAATTCTAGTAATCTATCTGTTATTGATTTATTAGCTGAAACTAATAATTTTGATGAACATAAAAACAATGAAATTCTGTCTTCAAACTTAGAACTTATCACCAGCTCTTCAAAAAATGTATCCATATCAAAACAATTTCCTGGCCCGGATCCAGCGATTGGAATTTAGATTCTGATACAACTGACTATTTATTAAAAAATCCGCCTTTTATTAATTTGATTGATATTGACTTTTAAAGTACAAGACGTTTATGCGGAAAAAATATTAGAAAACTTCCATATGACACATTTGAAAGGTGTCTTCTTATTGGCTAACGCAAAAAAAGGAATTGCCTTCTCTATTCAAAATCTAAAAAAGCGTTTTATTGTTTTCAATGTTTTTTGGTACTAATAAACACGCCGTCAGTGATCCTATGATCCTAATTTTATACTTACAATTTGGCAAAAATGTCATCATTTAGTCCATAAACATGAGAAAAGTGTTGCTCATAAAACAAATGTCCGTAAATGGTTTTTGGGAACAACTAAAAATAAAGACGTTATTAATCATGCTTTACAAGAAGAAATACAATCTCAAATGAGCTATTGGATAAATGTATCGTATAGTGACTACAATATAATTTCTATCGGAGAGAGGGCTCGCTTTCAGGGGAGATGATCAAAACTTTGATTCCAAACATAATGGAAATTATTTAGGATGCTTAGAATCAGTGTTCGAATTGGGAAAAATTAAGTAGAGGAGCTCAGTCCAACGATTCGAAAACTGCGTTCCACGTGCGCAATTATTTAATACAGATCCGTAGGGAGCTTTGTCACCCCTACCCTCCACCAACCTTACATATATTTTGAATACCACATTTCAGCTAAACAAATATTTAAATTCCAAATATAATATATTTTGATAGCAATACCAACATCCTACATGTTACAATAGAAAATAAAAATAAAATAATAATTAACATAATTGTAGACGATCAGGCAGTTTCATGAATCGAATGATATAATCATATATTTGGTTTTTGTTTTTATCTATTTTTACTCTCTAGTGCGGGCCACGGCCTTAGAAGATTAGTTGTCGGGCATTTATTTTTTTCCGAAATGCCGATATCGTTGATCGCCAATATTAATAACAAACCTTACAATGTATAAAACACCGTTTTTCAACCTTTTTAGTGTCGCGACCCCCAAAATAGGTATAAAATATAGTCAATCACTTCGCGATCCCCTCCATCTAGGTTAGGTAAAAATTTAAACAGTAAAAATATCCTATCATTAACCAAACGAAATATAACATTTTAAATACCATACCTAGTAACTTAAGCTAATCAAGTTTGAAAGTTATGTATCGGGTCGTTAGGAATTTCCATTAGTGGAGTATTGCCCGTTTTATTGATGAGATATCTACATTTAATAGACTGCTTATTATTGTTATTTTTAATATTATTTTTGTGTGTTATGAAACGATTAATTTATCGATGACAGTCGCGCGTCGTTCGTGTTGTTAAACTCATGTTATATTGCGTTTATTAAGTTGGTTTTTAGTGCGTCTTTTTTAGTTTTGTGTAATTTGAATTAATGATAATGGATAAATATATAACAAAACGTAATGCTTCGTCTACTTCTGGTGAACCAGCGAAAAAAAAAATTCAGGCCATATAAAAATGAGTATTTGAAGTATGGGTTTATTTCACTTGATAATAAGTCACAATGTGTTGTTTGCTTTTAAGTTCTATCTCAAGAAAGTATGAAACCTTCAAAATTAATTCGACATCTGGAAACAAATCACCCACTTTTAGTAAAAAAAACCAATTGATTTTTTTGAGCGTAATTCACTTTTTTTAAAAAATCAACAAACTTGTATTCTTAAATCAAGTTAAAATAAAACCGCAACACTTGAAGCATCATATTTAGTAGCACTTAGAGTAGCTAAGGAATCAATGCCACACACGATTACTGAGAACCTCATTCTACCCGCTGCTATTGATATGGTCAATATTATGATAGATGCAGAAGAAGCAAACAAATTAAAAACTATTCCACTTTCAAATGACACAATATCAAGACGAATTAATGAAATGTCAACTGATGTCCTCAATCAAATAGTATAAAATCTAAAATCAAGAGAGTATTTTTTCTATTCAGTTTGACGAATCAATAGACGTAACAAACTTGGCACAATTTTTATGTTTTGTTCGCTACGAATGTGACGGGACAATTAAAGAAAATATGCTTTTTTGCAAATCAATACCAGGTCATACTACTGGACAAGGTCTTTTTGAATTATTTATTGAAACAACAAAAAATGAAAATTTGGACTGGAACAAATGTATTTCAGTGTATTCTGATGGCGCAAAAGCAATAACAGGGAAAAATAGTGGTTTAATAGTAAAATTAAAAGAATTAATGCCACATATTGAATGGACACATTGTTTTCTTCACAGACATGCACTTGCCGCAAAAAAAAATGCCAGATAATTTAAAATATGTGTTATCTGAAGCTGTAAAAATAGTAAATTATATTAAAAGTCGACCGCTGCTGTGCAGATTGTTTTCCACACTATGTGAAGAAATGGGCTCCAAGCGCAAGTCACTGCTTTTCTATACCGAAGTTAGGTGGTTATCACGAGGAAAAGTTTTAACGCGGATTTTTGAGTTGCGAAATGAATTAAAAATATTTTTTAAAGATCGAAGTAACACATTTTTAACTTTTTTTTAATGAGTAAATTAGTTAATGAAAATATCACTAATAAAATAAAAAAATCCAAATATTTGTTAATTATAGTAGATTCTACCCTTGACATTACCCAAGTAGATCAACTAACTATCATTGTAAGTAAGGTAGAGGACTTGTAGCTCTAAAAATTCACCAAATATGCACTTAAATATACAAAATATTTATTAAAAATATGCATTTTAAAATTAACTTTTTTGAACATAAAATAAGAATTTTTCTTTAGGTATTTATTATAATGAATACATTTTATTTACAAATTAACAAGTTACAATTAATTAATTGGGTTTATTTTATGGGTTTTCTTATCTGGATACTTACTTTAAGCATTTTTTATAATAAATAGTAAATAGAACATGTTTGAACTGTCAACCATTGAGAAACAGCGATTACTGAAATATGAATATGTCCGATGTCGGCAACAGGCGTCCCCGTGACTCGAATCAATATTTTTTGCGTTGAACAATATTATCTCATCTACCTATAAATAAAATTAATAACCCGACAACAATCTAATCTCTCGAGACGTGTTTTTAGAAAAACCATGATGGGTTTGGGAAAAGTCAATAACCATATTAATATTATGATTAAAATTTAAAATAATTTTAAATTCAACGTTATTTTGTTTATATAAATAAATAAATAAAAACGTGGACGAAAAATATTGATAAAATGATAAATTATTTAAAATATGCATCTAAAAGTATAAAATGGAAAAAATATGCCCTAAAAACCAAAAAAAAAACGCAAAATATGCATTTATATGCACAATAAAATTTCAAAACTAGCTTTGTGGAAGCATGAAACGTATTTGTTTCGCACTCTGCTATTTTTATGACTGTGCAAAAAAAATATACAAATGCTACAAGTCCTCTATTCTAATTATAAGGTATATTAAAGGTAATAACTATGGACTTTAAAGATTTCTTGGATTTCTGAAATCAGTTGGTGATAAAGCGAAATATATGGAAAATGTCTTACTTAATTTTTTTACTGATCATTCAATAATTTTTTATTTAAAAAACTGCGGAGGTCAGTTGTACGGCAATGCGTCTATATGTCGGGCATATACAATGGGCTGCAACCACGTATAAGACGTACTTCAGATCAAACATTGTACGTTCCATGTGTGCAGCTCATTCGCTAAACTCAGTAGGACAAAATGCTACTGAAGCTACGAGTGAGGGGACAAGTTTTTTTTACAACACACAAATGATATATAACTTCTTTTCTGTTTCAACAAGTCGTTGGGAAATTTTAGAAAAATGTCTTGATAAAACTACAGATTAATTAACAATAAAAAATGTATGTATAACGAGGTGGTCTTCAAGATATGATGTTTGTAAATCCCTTTATGGAGGATAAAAAGATATACTACAGTCATTAGAAAAAATAAATTTAGATAAAAACCAGAGACCAGCCATATGCCATGAAGCTCGTTCATTTCATAAAAAAATTAATAGTTTGGAATTTTCATTAATAAAATAATCAACTAAATTATTTTCAACTTAGAAAATGAGACATTGGAAGTATTCGAATAGAAAGTAAAAATCTTGTTGAACTATATCATTTAGATTTAGAAACAGATTTTGAAGAAGAATTAATACAATTTAAAAGCATCGATAAAGATTTTCCCACAGAATGTAAATTATCATTTGCTGCATTACATAAAACATTAATTACAGTCTTTAGAAACATCGTTTCCAAATATAGAGTTTATTTTAAGAATTATTTGTACTCTTCTTTCTTCAAATGCAAGTGGTGAAAGATCAATTTCTGCATTAAAACGTGTAAAAAATTATTTGTGATCATCATTAATACATGAAAAAATTTCAAATTTGTCGATATTGTGCATTGAATCCAGCCCTGGACCCCATACGTGACGGCAAAGCGACACCAGACGAATACACACCGCGTAGTAGAAAATTACAATCTCATTCACAGCACAATGACCCGGCGTTCATTGTACCCCGATTAAGCAATGGGCGATTATCGGCTGCTTTACACGAGGTACGTGCTACGCTCTTCATGGTCAACGTTCACAGCCAACTGATTGCCGGACACGTGGTCATATAATAATAATAAATGCTTGCCCAGTCGATCCGTCATTGCGACTAAAAAGGCCTTTCTAAAGGCCAATATCTGATTAACCTCCCCTTCGACATGCTTATATAAACGATCGTCTGAAGTCCTTCGACCGGCCTAGTACTTGTCCGAGTGCCTGAGAAGATAGTGCTGGTTTTCCCCAATTAATGTTTTATAATTTATATTTCATGTAAAATATAACAAGCATATTATTAAAAGGAAATTGAGTAATTTTTATAAAGAACGGTCTTCCATTACAGACGACGTAGGTGCTGCTTCAGGTCATTCAAATGACAGTTAGGATTTATTTTATACGATTCAATTTTACGATTAAACCAATACAATAAAATAAGTACCTAATATCTATAGCTATGTTAGCTATGCTGATATAGATATATTTTATACTTAAACATTTAATAATTTATCTGTAGTTCAATATTAATTAAGAATATAATATCCATATTTTATGATCAACGTAATAAAATGAAGTATCGATAAACGCTAAAATTGTATGAAGTAAATTGAAAATGTAGCACGGACCAGATAAAAAAAAAAAATACGCGGAATGCCAGTTGCCCATTTCTTGGATGAAAATATAGACATGCTTTATGGTTATGAAAGTTACACGACTGCTTGGCTGAGAATATATCAAAAGAAAACGATAACGGCAAAGATCAAAAGATCAAGGAAATAAAGAAGAAAAATGAGAAGAAATTCAAGACGATGATAAGTATGAAAAGGAAAATGAGAACAGTAAAAATAATATATTTAATTACTTTGTTTTGGCGATGAAAATTAAAAATTAAATGTATGAGGCCTACTGGGAAAACTATGTAAAGAAAAACGCGTCCCGATTCTCCCTCACTTGTGATGTGGAAACGAATGCAATCTTAATATCGTTATATACAAATAATCGTAATTTTGTATGATGAATATTAAAATTCGTATACCGAAAGAACAATTACGTACATTTATGTTTATAAAAACTTTGATTTTTAGGTTATTTTCTCCTCTACAATTTTTGTAAGAACATTTTTTTGCGCAACCAGTGTAAAGTAATATATCAACGCAGAAGCTATTTATTGCTAGTGAAGAAATCGGACTTTTTAAAAAGTTTGTACTTTGTTGGCCTTATAGCACAATAACAATTATTTTTATACAAAAATATTATAGAACCTTTTTTATAGATAATTATCTCTTATATAATTTTTGATTGAAACTTATTTCGGTACGACGAATAAAAAATGAGATATTAAAAATAAGGTAATTTTCGTGAACTGTGACGCGCACATGATTTCGTGGTTGAATATTTACACATTGTTTATGACGGCATTATAAAGTAGTGTGAAACATATTTGCATCTTACTTTGGATGTTCTAGGATGAAACAAGAAAAATATGTATTTGCTAGAACTTCCAAGCCCTGGTAATTACTATAGATTATTTATATTTGAAAAAACAGGAGTGCTACGTTTGAAATTAGGGGTGCTAAAAACCCTATTGCGCCTCCCCTACTTGCGCCTATGCTCTGACAACTGATGATGGACCAGATATACTATGAACGTGTTCAATAGGTGTAGACCGTTGACGTATATACAGCAAGTACGAACTTGATACTAAATATTGTATATGCTCATTTGATTCAGTGGCGCCGAACTTCTAAAATTTTACTCAGGCTAAATAAAAATACATTCGAATTTATTTTAAATGCGAGGCCCTAAACAATGGCCTAAAGTGCCTGCCTGCTAACGACGGTAAAATAATATACTGCATCAACAAATGGTAAAAGGTGATATAATAATAATATGTGATAAGGATATGTTATCACCATTGCAATTGTTAATGTCTTCCTGTATAAAAAAAACGGTTTTGTGTCTTAAATACTTCATTTTTTCAATGTTCTAATGCATTATTCTTGGTTATTTATTGTTTCGTCTACATACTTGATTCGCGTATAATTTAGTATAGAAAATGGACAATGTGAACAATGAATACCGCCGCTATCCATACTGCGTGGTTTGGACTCCGATACCATTTATTAGGCTAGTTTTATTTCAACTTCCGTTCAATAGAATACCACAACATACCTGCTCAATGTTTACATGATTAACACTATGATGTAGTAATAAATTAAAGAACTACTAAATATCACTATTTAACTACAAATTTTCCTGTAATTCTGTATACATTTTTTTTTTATTCATATATCAGTATTAAACTATTAAATTTTATGCATTACTCAAAATTATGTCCTTCTGACTAATAAACTTTGTATTAAAAATAGTACTCCTAAAACTGAGAGTGTTTTAGTTGCTATTGACATCTAAATATTCTAAATATAAACAGTTTTAACTTAAAAATGTCATTAAAATATTACCTTAACTTAAAATAAGCAATAAATGCCAAATAAAAATTACTATTTAAAGTGTTTAAAATTTTAAAATTGGTGAAATACAACGGCGTTTCAAATATTTTTGATACAATGGAAAAAGAAACGTGATTAATTTATTGATGTAGTTTGTTATTAGTTTCTAAATTAATACTTTTAAAAAATTAGCGGCTTGTGGGTTTATTTTATAAACGAATAGATAATATTTAGTAACTATAGTTTTTTTTTATTATTATAGCTGGTTATTTCCATTAATTGGTCATATGGGCATAACTACATCTACTGGTGTTATAAGAGATTTTTCTGGATCATTTTATGTAGCAGAAGATGATATGGCTTTTGGATATCCTACAAAATACTGGCAATTAGATGTAAAACACATAACTGGTGGTTCTAAAGCATGGGATAAAGCTGTGAATGAAGCATCCATTGAATATTTCAATAGAATGGTAATTTTCTTACAAATTCTTTATTATTATTTAATTAAAGAAGTATGTGTATAACTTTAAATGTTGATAAATTTATTAGTTACAACTAATCCTTATTTATTCTAGCATAATCTACTATGTGATAACTGTCATTCTCATGTTGGTATGGCATTAGCGTTAATGAATTACAATAAAAGTAAAAACTGGAATATGGTTAAATTGGCTTTATACACATTTATTTTTGGGAAATATGTCAGGTAAAATAAATATAACTAATAATTTTTATTTATTTACATTAAACAATAATTAAAATTTTTATTTTTAGTTGCAGCGCATGGTTTAAAACATGGGGCCCATTTATCATTTTTGTATTTGTCTGTCTTGCACTTTATTCATTCGGTCAATTAATCTAAAAATGTATAATATCATAGTAAAATAACAGCTCATTAAAATTTGTTAATTGTAATGTGATGATCTCTACAGCAGCATATTAATATTTTTTATGTATAATTTATATTTTTTTTATAACAGTGGTGTAGACTGGGAAAAGATAGTATAAGTATTTTGATTTTGTCTTTAAATTAATAAAAGATAATCCTTTTGCAGAGATAATTTTGTTATAATAGAGGTTCTTAACCTTATGAGGTATATGAACTACTGTAAAAATAATCTTTGACAGTTAAAAATAAAATTGCAACCAATAAAGTAAGCTCTCTTGGCCATTATGATAATATTAAATTCAAATTTGTCAAACTACCTTAAAATATTTTTCTACTTTTTTAAATATACAAACAATTATTTTAAGGAAACCATATGTATTACTTCATAAAGAATAAATAAATGTGTGATCTATATATTTTTACTTAACATTTACGATTTTATTATATAAACTAATATTATGAATTCTTTAGAATTTTACTTAATAATATTATATTCTTAATGTATACTAGATCAATAAAATACTGTAATATTATTTTATAACTAAAAAATATTAAAAAATGTTAGTGAATTTTTTTATTAACTATTATTTCTTATACTTCATAAATAAAATGTGCTTGATGTGGTTTTGTTAATACATTTATTTTTACCAAATCATTTGTTTTTTTTTCAACTATATTGAAGTGAAAATATTTAAATTTAATAACTATTTAAGTCATAATATTTATAAAACGCTTAAATTTAGAACTTCTTATTGTTTTTAACGATATTTTTTTTCGTATAAAACTGTTAGGTCTGATAAGTGTTTTGTAAAATTTATTTTAGCGTCATAGCTAATATATTCAATAAATATTAAATAAAGCGAATAAACAGTTGTGTAAATAAGAATTATCATTAAAATGATGATAATATGGTAAATGCTTAGGTACTAAATTTATTTTATTTACTGTTGGATAATACAAAATTTCTATTAATTTTATAACTGATTGTTGTTTTCAATTGTAATTTTATCTTGAGAACTTATTTTTAAATATGTAAAATATTTAAAAACTCATAATAGTTTATTTAATTTTGTAGTATTGAATGATAAATAATTACAATGTATGAATTTATTACATTATAGCACTTCTTAATTTATTTTTTATATATAGACTTTGTTTTTTTGTTTATATATTTTTAATTGTTTAATTATTGCTTAAGAAAGTGTTTTCAGAGATAAATATCAATTTATGTGTTAACTTTATAAAGAGTAATTCATATATGTATTTTGGTACTAAACTGTTAAAATCAATTTTTATTATAAAATATCAAAATTCAACATTATCAATTACCCAGCCATTTTGGAAAAATGATTATAAAAATACAATATAACTATAAAGTTTAGTTTTTATACTACTTTTTATGAGCAAGTTGAAAATGTAGATAAGAGGTTTAGGACAAGGGTGGCCGATCCTAAATAGTTGGGAGAAAGACGAAGGTGAAGAAAAATAATAAAATACTTATAGAACAAATAGAACAAAAAGCAAACTCAATATATCGCAATAAATTTTATTTTTTCTTACAAAGTAATTGATTCCAAGTATATTATATACTGTGACCTTTTAAGGAACATACGTTGTAGAGTTGTTCACCAGTCTTCTATCATTAGAAAAATCATAATTGTACATATCAGATTCAAGAATTTTTTTTACAGATAACAAACATCTTTTTGTATCTTCTAAATTATTTGTATAATTATTAGTATTCATATTAATTTTGCTGGACAATACAAATGGTATGCTATCTAGCATACTAGTCGGTTTAACATCTTGATCAGAAAGTTTTGATACGTTTGGTTGTAAGCTGTAGGGTGTGTTAGGCATTGTTGGTAAATTTTCAGCAGGTCTAGGTTCTAGATCAGCAGTTGGAACAGGCTGAGTGTCTTTTGTTTCCTCAATAGGATCAGTCTTTAGTTTAGAAGCTCCAAATAACCAGGATGCCATAATCTTAAAACAATAACATAATTTATTAATAAGTAGGTATTTAAAATTAAAATAATTTCATTCATTTATATTAGTATATATATATATATATTAATAAAAATGTCCATAGAAGGTAAATAATATTGTAATAAGTGTGGTATAAAATTGTTTTCTACCACTAATTTATTGATAAAAAATATAGACTTAGAGTTACTGTCAATGGATTACATTTATCAGTTATGAATTTGGTTAAGTTAACCTATATTATTAATGTTATAATAAGATAATATAATTAAGTTTTAACACTGTTGATTTTTAGATAATTATATGAATTTGTGTGTCAATATGATTCATAAATTAATAATTTTTTTTTTGTATATTTACAGCTATTAAATATAAAATTAAGAATATTATTTTAAAGTAAAATATTAAAATATCTTAAGATTGAGAGTTAAAATATAATATCAGAGTAATTAAATTAAATTAAATATTAGAGAAAATTATAATGGTAAATAGAGGGTAATTATTTTATATTTAATGATTAGAAAATATTTTTAATAAAACATGTGAATTGATATAACTATGAATACAATAATACAAATATAATACTAATTAGGTCAAAATATTTCATGAGTTCATATATTATTTATCTGGAGTATAATGCTATAATAAAATAATTTATATCTATCTTTGATACTGTTGTGCTCTTGTTCGTTTAAGTTAGGTAAGATAATGCTTAATGAGTTTAACTAGGGAATGAACAATCACAATACACCTATTTTATGTAAACTAATATTTCACTTAATTTGAATGAATGCTTAACATACACTGACTAATTTGAATTGCAAAGATGATGATGATGGTCATCAGACATAATCTACAATATGCAACTCAGCATTTATACTTGTAACTAAGAATAGGCTCTTAACATTACTTAATGACAGATTTTTATCTCATGTCTAGGTAACTTAACCAGTCATATCTTTAACTAACCTTAATCCTAAGTCTATAAGATGTACTTTTAAAATAAAAGACGCACTGTTATAATAAAAATTGACATAATGTATTAAACTATTAACTAACAACCACTAAATACAAACGGTAAACTTAATATATTTTATTATCATAAAAAAAATTAAAGCCATGACTACAGACGGATATAATTGCATTAAAAATATCTTAAAATTGCATTAAAAAGATGCCAAAATTGCAATGAAAATTTATCGAAATTGCAGTATTAATATGTTGTAATTGCATAGTAAAATCATATCAAATATATAACCATTAATTGCTTACTATATATCTATTCGTAAGGTATAATCCAAGTAGAAATAAAAATATTTAACAAGCATACAAACTTTTAGATATAGGTGACAACAATTATAAAATATGAATTATTATAGATAGCAATAACAATAAAAAGATAAATATAGTAATCAAAACGAATTCACACTTCTTTTTCCAATTCGGACAGCCAACGGATGACATCCCCTTCCAATATGTGCAAAATTTTCATACCTCCAGGAAAATGGTATATCGGACACTCTTCTACAAGGTGTTTCATAGTCTGGATCATTCCATCAGCTTCTAATTTACTAATTACTTACTTAATTAATATTATGGACATTAATATAATATTTACAAAATATATCATTTTTCTAAATTAAAATTTACAATTAAATATATCTCTAAATTGTATTTTTGAAAGTCTGTTATTTAAAATATTTTTATATAATGAAAAAGTATATTCAACGTCTACACTTGTAATCGGTGTTATGTATTTAAAATAATTTAAAAATTTGATGTTATATCTAATCATTTTGATTTTCTGTTATAACTTCAGATTAAGTTTTAATAGTTTTATTTCCTTCTTTTTTTTTAAAGACATATTTTAATTTATCCTAAACTATTTTTCCATTGAGACCGGGAATATTTATCAAAATATTTTCAATTTCACTTAATATGTTTAAACTATTAAGTAAAATTAGTTACGAATTTTCTAAACTTGTGAGTTTTGTAGATAATTCAGATAAATATAATTTTAAAAATACTAAACTACATGTAACTAAATGTAATAATTTACGTTGTAGTTATATATGTTATCGGAAATGTTGACATTTTAGGAAAGGATGACAATTCCTAGTAGTGGAAGGAAATGATATCATTGCCTAGGAATTGTCATCATTTCCGTAGTTTATTAGGCAATGTTATCACACATTTATACAAGATTTATACAAGCTATGTTAGAATTAATTTAGTATTTTTATTAATCATCATCGCATTTAAATGCATAATAGAAATCAATTATAATTATTTTTTTTTTAATTATAGGCACTTAAAAAGAATTTTTAAAACATATGTACACGAGATTGGAAATAAATCCTTGCAAGGCAAATTTATTGAATCTAACTATTGTTTTAGAGTCAGCAGGTCATGCAGAAAAACAGATATCACTTTGGGAGGCAGCTACTGTAAATAGTATTTTAGGGGCACAAGGATATACCCGATGTCTATGTAAAAAAAAAATGCAAGATAAACAGGTATGTTTGCAGATCGGCATCTAGAATTCATAATTCTATATGTCATGGAGGTTTGCCATGTGAAAATAAAACTGAGTAACTACGAAAAATAAAATTTAAAATATAAAAATTCTGAAATTATACAAATCAAATTGATAAAAAAAAAAGTTAAAAAATAACTACTCTATTTTATTATATTATTTTATTATTTTATTATAATATTAGTTATTAACATTTATGTATAGTAAAATAATTATTTTAAGTTAAATTAAATCAAATTAAAAAAAAAAAAATGGTATCACATGTATGAAAAAATATGGCATTGCCTGGAATTATAAGGAAATGATAACATATACTAGGCAATGATATAATTTCCTTCTGCTACTAGGAATTGTCAACATTTCCGGTAACATATATATATATATATATTGTAAAATTACTTTAGAAATATTAATTTGTATATTTTAGCATGTAAAGTATAAAAATTACAATAATTGAAAAATTTCAAAAAATTAAATTGAAAGACTGTAATTAATCCAATTCGCATATATATTTGAACAGATTTGATATACCTGGTATCAATAAAAAGTTGTAATTCTATTTAATCTGGTCTTTAGTCATGACTAAAGAGTGGATTTAATTGATATTGCAACTTTTTATTGATATCCAGTAAATCAAATCTGATCAAATATGTCTATGAATCAGATTAATTAGTCTTCCTATTTAATTTAATAATGCAATTTTTTGCAATTATTGCAATTTTTATATACTGATAACAATGATTTTATATGTGATAAAATATACAAATTATTATTTTCAAAGTGATTTTACAAATAAAATATAACTATGATGTAAATTTTTACATGTAGTTAAATGGATTTTAGGATTTTTAAAATGATATTTATCTGAGTTATCCATAAAACTCACAAGTTTAGAAGAATTAAATAGTTAATTACTTAATAGTTTAAACATATTTAGTATAAATACTAAATAAATAAATACTAAACAAATACTAACTAAATAAAAATATTTAATATAAATATTTCAATAAATATTCCCGGTCCCAATGGAAAAATAATTAAAGATAAATTGAGATATGTCTTAAAAAAAAATGAAGGGTATAAAACTATTAAAACCTACTCTGAGATTATGACAGGAAATCAAAATGTTTATTTAGATATAACACCTAATTTTTTAAACTATTTTAAATATGCATCGATAACAAGTGTGAACGTTGAACATACTTTTTCATTATATAAACATATTTTAAGTAACAGACAATACAATTTTTAAGAACACAATTTAGAGATGTACCTATATAATAATAAATTTTAATTCAGAAAAATGATATATTTTGTAAATATTATATTAATGTCCATAATATTATTTAAGTAAGTAATTAATGATTATATATTTGATATGATTTTACTATGTAATTTTAATGTGTTTCATTGCAGTTTTAAGATATTTTTAATACAATTATATCCGGTCTTTAGTCATGACCAACAAAATACTTGTAACAGGGTCAAACATGACTATACTCTATGACAATAATTGTTAGAAAGATTGAAAGTTGAATGAGAGCATGTCTTTGTAATCATTAAATATAAATGAGAATAATCAAAGTTTTATATAATTTATTGTGTTGTGACGTCTAATAATTACAATGGAGCTAAAGTAAGAGCACAGAAATAAACATTAAATGGTTATAAATAAAGAGGTTATGTAATGCTTATATTATATTATAACTCTAAAGCTAACAATTATGAATCCTTCTGGGCTTTTTATATTTTCAGAATTAAGACTTTTAATATTTAGTCTGATCCAAACTTGAGGTTTCAAGAAAATGCATTTGAATCACTAAATATACCGAGTTGCACACATAAGATAAAAACCATAGCGTACGAGGAATTACGTATATTTACGAACCATTCTAATTTAATCAAGATTTTAATACAGAAATTAGATCTAAATCAGAATGATACTATGAAATACATGTATTACGAGTTAAAATATATAGGTTATACCAATTGAATAGCTTCACTCCAATAACAATTGTGAAATTAACGAACATGAATTCACAACGATACACAAAAAACACACTGTCAAGAAAAACGTAACGAAGGTTTAGACGCTGTGAGAGTAATATAATAACCTTACTTTAACAGAGAGCAGTATTCTAATTCGTCACGGAATGGTTGATGTAGTATCGCAATGTTTGGTGACACGATGTGAACGTTGATTGTAGCGTGCAGCTAATACACACTCTCCGTGTGTATCCAATTAATCGATAAAAATGTATTGACTACACGAAAAAACAATAAAACAAAAACATTTATAAGAGATAGTATTGTTCAACGACCCGAGATACAACTTTGGAACACCAACAACATGTGTTCCACATTCGAATAAATTATTGTTATCATCTATAACCTCAGACAACAATCGCTGGTATAGAAGATATATATATATATATCTGTGATCGCGACACAGCTGCAGCGCAGTGATTCTCAAATCTTTCGCGTGTAACAATACCTCACGGATCTCGTGTTTATGCCGTATTATGTTGGGCCAGTGATAAATGTTTAATGTGTCGTGTGACTATTATACACGTACATATCTACTAAGTACCTATACATACAAAAAAGAAGTATTCACTATTACTCTAGGCAGGGCCGTAGCAAGGGGGTGGCGACAGATACCTACGCCACGAGCGCAATTCCTGAGACGGCGCAAAAATTAAAATCTTGCAAAAAATTACAACGGTCAATGTTGTTTAAAAAACATCATTAACATTAATTAAGGTAATCATCAAAAATAATATCTAATAAGCATATTATTTTTAAATTAAAAATACATAAGGGCGTATTGTTTGGTTAATACGGCATTGACTCTATGTACATCACTAAATAGTAAATAGGTACCTTCTATTCATGAGTAAATTTTAATTGCCATATATTTAAAAATATAAATATCCCTTTTACGTATTTTTCGGTAGCGTCAGTAAAATGTTGTTCCTTCGAAAGTACTAAAACGAAACATTATTAGGACATTTGGTATACTGTTTTCAACTAAAGTTTTTTTTTTTTACACATTATTACCTACCATTCATTTGTAATGTATTATATTTTAGTTTTTTTCTTCAAAAACTCCTCGTTTTGAGAATTTAATGAAATCAATTTAAAAATATTTTCATTGATTATATAACTGATATATAACCCAATGGTTTTAATATATAATACTCGTAGTGTACATGGATTTTTACATTAATGTGGTGGTACCTACATTTTTTTGTTGATTCTTAGGTAATTTTGTATAATTATAAAACGATATCATGTTGCGTGAACTAATTGAATATTTAATCGTGCTCAAAAGTTTTCTATTTTGTTAAAAAAAAAAAATAAAATGAATACGAATAGGTAGTTAACAATCCAAGTACTACGTGCAGGTTTCAAAGTGGTAATAAGGAGCAGGAGACTAATCCATAACTAATTCTCAGCGTTCCGTCGTATAGTACCTACTCATACAATTACTAGGTTATTAATTATAAATAGGTATATATTATGAGGAGTTGTTAGTAAATAATTTCCTCCGCTAACTATTCATATGCTGTAAAAATGTATAAACTTATAAATTATTTATTGTTTTAAATAACAGATTGTAAATATCTTTTAATAAAATAAAAAAAAAATAATAAAACCGTATTCTTTAAGAATATATTACTATACAATTTATACCTAATATTAGTTAGTTTTGTTTATAACAGTATACCTAGTGACTTCAACTAAATAGCAAAGTCAATTTATATTTAGTAGGTAATTATTATTTTAGCTATAACGTTTTCATTTAATATTAATATAAATACTCAAAATATACCCATAAAATAAATTATAAATAAATCAATTCCGATTCCTTAGTGTACATGTTATAACAAAAAAAAAAAATGTATAGCCTTTTACGAGTAGTTTTATTTATAATAATAAAATAAAATATAATAAGTCCTTAAAAACATAAAATATATTTTACCCAACTGGTATTATGTGAAATCAGAGACATACATCCACTCATAAAATAACAATACATTTATATTAATATTATAAAATATTCAATACACTTCTTCTTAAGCTGATCAAGTCATGAGAGTGAAAATTTTATTCAAAATAAAAATAAAAAGTAGAAGGAAAATTAAATATTTTTCACTTATTATTTTGTGAGATTACAGATATTCACTCATTAACAAAATAATAGCATTTTAGTTTTACTATAAAAGTATAAAATATTTAATACAATTACTTAGGATGAAGCCAACAAAACGAAAATTGATAAAAAAATAAAAATATTTAACCTAATAATTTCATTTTTATCAAATTTTCCATTCTATTGATAACTTATGAATGTTGACTTAGTTAAAACGTATAATTTTATGAGTAATTTTTTTAGTAAAAAAAATGTACCGTTAGAAATTTATTTTTGGTACCTACTAATTTATAGGTACTATTTTATTAACCATTTTTGCTTGGGCCGGTCCTGTATATTACTATTATTATTTGTTGTACTCATTTTTTCCACGATTAAGAATTCTTCCTAAAATTTATTATACATTAGAAAACTTTTGTTTTCACCGTTATTAAACTGCCATCGGCCCCCCTTTGCCCTTCCCTTAACCTAGCACTGAACATTAATTTATTATTACTTTTCTTTATTTTACAATTATACATTATTCATGAAAAATATTTACATTTTGTTACATATAATCACCATTACTTTTTAAAAATTTGCATCAGTCGTTTTCCCTCGTTTTTTTAGTCGTAACTACACTCCCTACACTAAATATACGTTCTGTCGAAGCACTACTCGGTAAATGCGTATTTTATATTTATATAAAAAAAAAAAAAATCTATAAGAAGAGAAGGAATCACCTAAAGAAGTTCAAGTCTTTGTTAAGCTCTTGGAAAAATAATTAAAAATTTCATTTTCTATAGAGTTATTGAAATTTGTTTTGTTAAACTAATTAGAAAAAAAATATTTAATACATTATCGGATTGATTGAAAACTTGGAAAATGTATTAACTGCATTTTAAACGAATTAACAGTTATTTCTCTTTTATAATTTTTTATTCAGTCGGCTTACAAGACTAATATCTATTAAATGGGAAGTTATGGGTTTTAAATCTTATTTGTGGTTAAGTCACCAACAGTTGTACTAACCCATGCAGCCACCAAGTCTCAAGTATAATCCCTTCGCTGATAATTGACGGCTTACGCGTTAAAGAACCTACATGTAATGGATTGTAATATTCATATTGGCTCTTCAACATGCAATGCTTACATATAATTTGTGTAAATATTCGGTTAATGTAGCTTACAATAGGCAATACTATCCGTTTTATACTCATTTCATGATCATTAGGATTTTTGCGATATTGCGCGTAGACTTGGAGGACAGGGAGATAGAGGGTATTATGGACATATAACTTCGGATGTTGTCCCAACAATGCGCGGGCGGATACGTTTATTTAAAATATCTTACAGACCCGCAGGTCACGGTCTATCAGTGTCTATCGACATTGCTCGGTATTGGATCTTCCTCGTAGAGCGTTACCGCGTCGTCTTCCGGAACGGTCATCAGCTCGGTTGACTGGTCGACGACTACCGGGTCTTCGAACGGCCGGCCACCGTTCTCTTTGACCCATATTGCCAAGTTGTCACGAATGAGCCGCAGAATGAGCATCGACTCGTCGTACACGTGATCGTCAATGGAGTCGATCTCGGCTACGGCTTCCTCGTACGCTTCTTTGGCCAGGTCGTGTCCCTGTCGGTGCTGGTCGCACATCTGGTACAGGAACACGGAGTAGTTGAGCATCAGTCCCAGCCGGATCGGGTCGATGGGCCGCAGGCTGTCCCGTCCCAACTGCTCGGCCCGTTCGTAGGCGACCCGCGACTCGGTGATCACAGCGGCCCGGTCCAGCGAGTCTGTGGTCACCTCGGCCGCGTACCGCTTATAGTCGGCGTACAGCTTCCTGTAGAACACGTGGCTCTCCGGGTCGGACGACTGGGCCCGCGGGGACTCCAGCCAGCCGCTGATCACCGTCAGCATTTCCGTGCACAAAGCAAGCACTTCGCTTTCCACCCGTTCCCGGTAATCCCGCGCCATCGTGGCTTCTAGCGGCGCCACGGTATCCATGTGCTCGACCGTTATCAGGCTTCGCCTGGACGTCCGTTTCGTATCCAGCAAGTGTTTGTACGCTGCCGCCAACATGTTGTCCTCGTCCTTCGACATCGGTGCACCGGTCTCGAACACCTGTCTCATATACATGGCCATGTCTTCGAACCGGTTCGCTTCTTGCGCCAGTTTGGCCTTCCACAGGTACATTTTTTTCGTTTCCTCCTCCACTTCCATTGTACTCGAAGTCATTTTGTTCCTTTAATGTTTTGTATGTACACAAATATGAGTCTGTGCGTGTCGGGCGTGTGTGTGTGTATGGTGTGTGTGATAAAATATGCTCGAATATATTTATTAGAAGAAAAATTTCAAATACTTTTTTAGCGTTGAACAAAACGTTTATTACTCAGCAACTAAATTTGAACAATTATTTAAGCCGTCTAATTATTAACCATATTTTATTATATAATTATAGTTGAAATTTGTAGGTACGTCTATTATAATTTATAATACATTTTTACTTAAGGCACTATGAATTTAATACTATTACATAATACGAACTATATTATTTCACGACAGTTATACATTATTAACTATAAGTATATTATACTCGAATAATAAATTTTTCATAATCCATAAAAATACAAATACAAAATGAATTTAAATACTGTATAAATGTTATAAATGTCTTGTAGCTCCAAACAACCGGTTTTTATCATCAAGCCCATGTGCAGGAATCTCCAAGGGCACGGGAGGGAGGGTTTCAAAACTATATACGTTATGTTTGGTTCTGAAGTAAATAAAAAAATACATGTCAAAATATCCTTATAAATAATATCAGGATTTAAAATCAATAAATGACAAAAAATGTCTGAACAGCTAGAAAAGTTGACTATTCAATAAAAATGCGTTGTATCGATATCTGTATTAACAGCGACAATCGACAGTAGATGAAAAAGACGCGAAAATTCTAAAGAAAAATGCGTCAAATCGGGATAATTGCCTTTGTTAAAACAAAAACAAAACAACTATATATGAATTTTCAAGTAAGTTTAAATTTTATAAAAAGAGGACGAGTATATTTTTAGTTAAATATATGTAAATGATTTTCAATGGGGGGGGGGGGGGGGGGTTAGAAATCTCTAAATCCTCCCTGTACATGGGCCTGTATATCATGTATACTGAAATAACTTTAAATATTTGTATTTTATGACCACTTTACTTTTATAAATAAATAAATAATAATAAATTAGTTATCATACAGATTATGTAGATCAAATTAACCAATCAATAAAACTAACCTTAATATAGATATTAATATTAGTATAATATATAATATATAATTATATTAATATTAGTACAATCATTTGTTACAATGTACTTTTATGATTAAAAAGACTATTTCAATAATTATAATTTAAATTTTATCAATGATAATAAATTCAAAGTAATTTTTTTAATTTACATAGCAAATTTGGTTTTTAGTGGTTTAGTACAGTAATAATTATCAATAAAGTTTATTATAATTTTAATTTAAAAATAAATAACAAAATACAGTTTAAAATAATTATGTAATTTAATGATTATTAAAATTGTAAAAGTACCTAAAATGTACTTTAAATTTATTATGGAATAAACGAACAAAATATGGATAATATTATCATAAAAAATCTTAGTAATGAAGATAGGAGGTAGATGATTGAAAAAAAATAATTTAAAGTAAACGGTATGTTTATAAACATAATAGAACCAAAAATGCTAGGTTGTCTTTTATACAAAAAAAAAAAAAAAAAAAAAAAATAGCAAATTAAGAAGACTTATTAAAAATATATTCATATGTATTAACTTGATAAATTTGTGTTACATGTTAAATAGATTGTATAATATTAATTTGTACCTATATCCATTTTAAATCGCTTTTTTAGCTATTCTGAATATTTACATTTGTAAATGTATGACTTAATATTAACTTAAATCTAAGATCGCATTCAAATATCTTATATAGCCTTTGTTAAACGTATTAAATGAATCAATGATTGTACAAACATCACTAGTTATATATTTTATGAAATTGAGATATTAGTAAAAATGTATACTAGTCTATGCGTTGAGTGTAACAACATCTTTAGGTATACTTTTTTTTTATTAGATAAATAAATAATAGTATCAGTGTTTTTATATGACTAGAATACCTCAAATTCATAAAATATTTGACTCGTGACGTTTACAATCATCAATTCAAATATACTATAATATACTATATTAATTAGTAAAAATCTATAATCGCATTCAAATATTTTATATAATCGGTGTTCAATGTAATACATATACTATATTAATTATTAAAAATGTATAATCGCATTCAAATATTTTACATAACCTGTGTTAAATGTATTAAACATATTATATTAATTATTAAAAATAACAGTAGTAAGGCAGTTAAAATAGTGATACATTACATTACATTAATCAATGTTTATAGTTAATTTAATGTAATAAAAAACTATAATAGATATAATAGCAAATTAAAGTTGTAGAATGTTGGTCATAAAAATTATTTGTTATTAATTATTAATAATAATAGGAATATTTAAATTGTTTAAAATATTAATAAAAACAACATAGTTTTATAAAATAATTAGTTGTATGACTATATAATAATTAATAAATACAAATTTAAGCTATAGACTATTATTTAATCCAACTAAACTATAAAGAAGTCTTATTATCTTGAATTAAGAAATAAAAAAAATGTTCAAATTTTTAATGAAATGAAACACCAAAAAATTATTAAAATTTTTAAATTATTTTCAATAATATATTGAATATAAGTTCTATTACATGAACTTGAAAATATTTTACGATACCACTATTTTGGATAAAATAGATATCATTAAATTTGAAAATTGTACAGAAAAACTATAAATTTCAATTTAACTAACTTTTAATAAATTATTGCTTAGTGAAAACTAATAATTAATTACGATTAAAATTATTTTTTGCATTATAACTTTTGTTTACAATCATATATAATCTCCAATATTTTCTATAGAGGAGCATCACATTCATATTCATTAAACACAATTTGGTATATTTTCATTTAAGAAAATATGGTTTACTTTAAATAAAATGAAACTGTGTCTATAATTTATCACATAATTAAAATGGCAGAAAATTTAAATACTTTTACATATACAAACTTAAGTAAATGTTATAATTATATATTTTTTGAAGTTTAAATTTCAAAATCAGTGAGCAATGCATTCCAATCAATATTGTTTTGAAACACTTCTTGGTCCAACCAAATCTGGTAATGTTGTTTAAACTCATTTGATAAATTAAATGGCTTACCCAAAGCACTATTAATTGAGAAATCACTTGGTGTAAATTCATCATCCTACAATTGGATATCAAATTATAAGTAAGATCATATTCATAAGACGTAACATTTTCTATAAAATTTATTTTAATAGTAGTAATTTTAAGATAAACAATGTTCAGTATTATTAAGTTTGTTTTCTCATTCATAAATCATATTTTGAGTATGAATTAAAATGTAAAATTTCTTGATTAAGGGATATATTTCTAATAATAAGCTATTAATATGAAATAGTAAAAAAACGTAATATTACAAAAAATATTACAATTTTATGGAGTTAAATAATTGAATAGTTCAAATGATATGTTTAATTTTAAATTTTTTAAAAATAAATTTCATACATTAAGAAGATGTAATATTATAAAAGTTTTCCAAAAATAAAAGATGATAAATATAAAAATATAATGGAACATAAATAGACATTGTTGGGTCATGATTTATTTTAATAACTTGAAATTTAAAAACAAAAGAGAGAAAGTTAGTATTAAACTTCAATAACATATACTGTATCATTATTGTATGATTATATAATGAACATAGACTTACATATTGTTGAGAATATCGTCTGGCATTGAACTTATCTACTGCAGATCTCAAACATCGTTCTTCGATTTGAAAGTCTGTTGGGCGTGCTTCAAGATCTAAAGAAAACAGTTATCAAAGATGAAACTTTAATTTGATGAATAAGAAATTTTTATGTGATGTACAAAAAGTTATCAATGACTTACAATACATTTTTATTCATCTAATTAGTACACAATAAAATAAAAGGTAATTTTAAAATGTAATTTATTAAAATAATTACCATTTCCATATGCCCAATCATCATTTAACCTATGTCGAACTTTTTGATATATTGTACTCATAGTTTTCATATTGGATTTGCGCCATGCCCTACCCAAGTATTTTGCTTGCATTTTTAATAGTTTTAAAATATAAAGTTGCATCATGGCATGTCGAACTTTTAATGACTTTTTTAATATTGGAGCCGACTTAAATATAACCAACATCTACATATGGATGAAAAAATTTTTAATTTAAAATCATGAAATGAAATATTAATATATTATAGTACCATGATTCTTGAGTGTTTCCATTTTGTTATTTTATTCAAAACTCTCAGTAAATTGATACAAGAATAAACATTTCTCCAGGAACATAATGGAAACTCTCCTACCTCAATGTTATCTAACGAAAGATCGGGACCATCGCCAATAACACATGTTGGAAAATCTAATATTGGAATCCTACCATCATAATTCACAAAAAAATATTTATTATAAAGTAACAGCAACCTATAATGATTATATGTATAAACATCTTAGTTTGATTACTTACGTATTCTTAGATGATACATATGAAACAAGATTTTGATTAAGAAATTTTATAACGAGAGGTATGCAGTTTGCAAATACAAGATGTTGAGAGATGAATTCAAACTGATATATGTGATTGGCTTTAAAATGTTTTAGGAGAAGAAGTAAAATACCACTAATAGCTTTTACTACAATTTCTTTTTGTCTGTTAATATCAGTTTCTAATTTAACTGATTCTGAAAATGACATTCTAAAGAGCGAAATATTAAATTTATGATTAATAAGAAATATACAGAATTATGGTTTTGTTACATACGGTACATCAACTGGTAATATATCCGCAACAATATTGATTGAATCACTTTTAGCTTTTGATGTAGGTGAAGCAGCTAATAATATTTTCAATAGTGCAATCATATGCTGAGGTAAATTTGGTAGCATTGCCTATATTATTATTATATTTTAAATTCCAATTTAATTATTTAGTTGGTATTTTTTTTTAATTATTATTAATTAATCCGAAAAATGTTACCAACTAACCTGATACAAAACTTCTGCAGGAGTCTGTTTAACATCATCTTCGCCCATAACTAATGGGCTTCTTTGAATTATTTCTTCTTTTTTTATTTGATAGTCAGCTAAAGATGTATACATATACTGAAATATTGTAATTAAATTAATATGAATATTGAACATGAAAAGTTTTTAAAAAATTACTTGTTTGAAAATAGACACACTCTCATGTATTGGATCAGGTAGGCCAATTAGTGTTTCGATATCATTATCCAATTTTAAACCAAGAAATTTAATTCTTGTTAGATTCAAAAAGAAATCTAAATCTTTATGACGTACTTTAGGTATCCATGGTAGGCCTTTTATCACTAATGGGGTAGGTGGAGTCTGTGGTCGATAATCATTTATTTCTTGAATATTTTTCATACTAGAAATATCATCCATTCCTAACTGCTGATCTTCATAATCTTGCAAGTCTTCATCATTTTGGTATGACAAATCCATGACCACAAGTGATTCATCTAATGAACTTTGTTTTATTAAGCCCTAAGATTAAAAAAAAAAAAAATTAATAATTTTACTTATTAGATGTATAATTAGATGTTGAAATAATACTATGTACATTGTACATACAAAATATTTGTGTAATACTAGTATACAAGCTATAGATGCTAACTTAGTTTAAATTTTTTTCACAGAAAGCTGGACATAAAACGTATTATTGTTTATTGAAGATTAAATAAATCCTTATATTAATTTTATAAGTAAGCTTTTATTAAAACAATATTAAATAGATGATGTGCAAAACATATAATAAATTTAAAATATTAGGGCATGTCCCTCTTTATTATTGATTCAAGACTTATAGCCAAAATTTGAATAGTAACATTATTTATATAAAATCAAATTGATACATAATAATTTTTTATTTATGCTTTACTTATTTAATTAAATTATTTTAAGTTTATTAATATTATAGAATAGAACAACTGGATCTAAGAACTTAAATACCCAAAAATTATAGTCTAATATACCAATTCTCAGTCACAATTTTTTTTCTAATTTTTAGGTAGATTTATTAATGGATTAAATACTGTCATTCTGTACAATTTATAATTTAGATTAAATATTTACATAAATATTTTTATGTAAATAAGCAGAAAGAATTTCTAATATATTATTATCCCAAACGTAATAAGCATATGAACTCTATATGAACCCAAACTCTATAATATAAATATACAGATTAAATTGGAACACTACACTAGTGGAGTATCATAAGCTATGTTTATGATTTTTTTTAAAATAACTTGTATATAAATAACTTATGTTAACCATCCTTCTATCAAATTAACTACATTCAACTTGTGGTATAACAAAAATCTCAATATAATGAATAAAACTATTGATCCCTTGATAATCTCGTGATATAATGAAAAATTAAATGTATTTTTGTCCCCTTGATATAACGAAGTTTTTTTTTTGGTCAAAGCTCTCACAATATAATGAATTTTTACAATTTTGGAGCTTGATATAACGAATTTTATGAATTTGTATCAGTTAGGTATTATTATGCAATAAGATAAGTTCATGATATTACACAAAACAACAGTGCATTTTGTAAAATTTTAAGTTTGGACAACACTATTGATCGTGTAAGCGCAAGTGGCTACACACAAACAACAATAACAGATATAAAAAAATAAATAAATATATATGTACGTAATAAGCAAACAAAATGTAATTAGTTAATAAATAATAATTCATGTATATATGTATGTATCTAATAAAATATGTAATAATATCTAATATATATGTATGTAATTATAAAAATCTAAATTTTTTTTAAATCTCATTTAAACTTTTTTTGTTAATTTATGATTTTGATACAATAAATTTTGATGTAACAAACTTTTTGTTAGTTTCTTGAAATTCATTATATATAGAATTGACTGTATTATAAAAATAATAAGATGATTAATTTAACAAGTACATAATTTTAGTACATAAATTGTTATAGGGCACAATTAATATTCAAAATATATCTTATTGCGAATTATAGATAAAAATGTGATTAAAATTAATACATAGCATCTTTGTTATTAAATTTGATTCTCCTATAATAGTTCTTAATAATCTTAAATATAAATTATAATTTAATAATAAATAAAAAATTTGAATTTGAATTGTATAATTTACATAGTAAATAATTAAATAAACAGAATGTAAATACTTCAAAAGTAAACAATCTTCTTTTTCGTCTTTCTCCCAACTATTTGGGAAGTAAACAATAACAAATAAAAAATATACTAATTTAAAAATGTCCTTTATTATATTAGCCATATTTTAGTGTATGGTATACATGTGAAAATAATCAAAATTGTGCAATTTTAAAAATGATTCTTAATTAAGGTCATATACATTGAATTAAATTGTTGTGAAATCAGTAATATTTATTTATAGCTAGAAATTGTTTAACTTAATCAGTCTTTAGATTAATAGTAAACTGATATAGATGTTAGCTAATATTGATTGTATTTAAAACATTTACACTAATGGTTTATTTATGAATACAGAGATTTCTGTGATGTACAGATGATAAAACAATCACAATTTGGTACAAACATTTATCTACAGTCTTATCAAGATATTAGTTATTACACTAAAAATATATATTGAATGAATTTGAGAGTCAAGCAACACATTTTAATAATTTTTATTTAATAAAAAATATACATGAGTCAAATAACTCATAATTCTTGATTACTTAATTGTATGACAAATTCAATTGAATGAAAAAGTACACATTATAATAACTCACAATGATTAATGAATTAGGTATGAAATATCTACCATTATTGATAGTGCAAGTGTACAAATATACACAACATAACATTAACGAAACAGCACAAAAAAAGAGGATCACACATCTGTGTTGCAATTTCCAATGGCAATGACAGAATCAGTAAAGTCTAAACTTACCTCTTCACAATAGCTAAGGGAAGTAGAATCAGCAGTAAATTGACATGATAATGCATTTAAATTATACGCCATCTAAGAAATGTTAATATATAATTTTGTCTTTAATTTATTCACAAATAAATGAAATAAAGTTCAAAGACAATACAGTTAAATTTAATCTAATTGGTCATAATCACAAAAATGATCACCATATTAAGCATTTAAAATAATAATTATTTATAGTACCAACCCTTAAAAATGAAAAAAAAAAATTACAAATATTCATTTACACATTTTTCATGTTTTCATAGCATAAATTGTAATTATTTTAATAAATGTAAAATCAATACAAGTATTTTGTCCTATAGAACTTAACTACTGAGATGATTTTAATAAATTAATCTATCAATATAATTATGACTTTAAAAGATATTCTTAGTTTTTTTTCTGTCTATTATTGTCAACATAGAAGTTGTAATAAAATAATTTTAATAATAATAATTCTTACTATTGAAGAGTGTAAAATGTTATAACCATCAAAATTATTTTTAATAACTTATAAAAATAAAATATTATTTTCAAACAAATTATGGTGTTTTAGTATGGATTCATTAAAACTGTAAATAATATAATATCATTTTGTACTGAAAGGATAAAAAATTGATATGTGCCGAGTAAAAAAAAAACTTGTTTACAAGAATGATGTATCGTACTTGAAAAAAGTACTTGATTTTGTATTTAAATTATTTTTATTTTGTTTATTCAATTAAATTTCATTTGTTTTATACTAATTCCATCTAAATATATAAAGATGAATATTATTTAATGCAAATTAAAAACGTCCAAAAGCATTTTTAAAATAGTATTAATAATAAATCTATCTCCCATCATTATAAAATTAAGCTAAAAATAAATATTGATTTTCTTACCCTCTTTTGACGGGTGCCACGTTTTTGTGCATTTATTACATCTGTAGAACTTGGTGGTGGTGAAGATGATCTCATTGTTTTGATTATTTCAATTGGATCTTCTTGTAGTTCAGGTAAATCAACATTTTTTCGATATTCATCTAACAAAGATTGATTTATTTTTATTGCTCTATCTTTTATAACATATATTATATAATTAAATATATACTATTGTCAATACTTTTTAAATTTGACAATGTGTCCATTCCACCAAGTAAAACTAGAATCAACTTCCACAGTAATAATAAAACTTTTTTCATTGGATAATATGATGCCAATCCACTACAAAATCTAGTTATCATTCCCAATAGTTTTACTATTATATGGTCTTCTGAATAAGGTAATCCTTTAAAGTTTCAAAAAATTAAATTAAATATCTTTTTTTCTAATTTAATAGATACTTATAAAACAATAATTTCAAAAAATACATTATATTTTTTTGTTACCTATTTCTAATAATAGATTTTCTCTAAATTCCTTAAATTCAGCACCTGGTTCAAATTCAGATACTCTTAATACTTCAACAAATGTATATAACACATTCAAAATTATTCTCAAATTTGTAGAGTCAGTACAATTAATTTGAGTTTTCCTATGAAACTGTACAGATCTAAAAAAAAAATTATTTTGAATTTCAAATTTAATTTTGGAATATCTCAAATTTAATATATTTCTTACTCAATTTCCATGTTCAAAAGATTTAAAAATATATTATAAACACCAAATTTATATAAAAATAGTACATTTTCTTTGGCATTCGCCTGCTGATCTTTGTCTGACTGACATTCAGCCCAACATCCCTAAAGATAACATGGTTCAGTTCAATAGTGATTTATTTACAATGTGTAAAAAAAAAAAATACTTACTTGCAACAAATATAATACACATCTTGCAGCATTTATCCGCTTTGTCTTATCTGATACTTCCAACAAATCAAGTAATCTAGATGCAACTAAGTTTTTATTTTCTACACTCAAATTATGCCAAGATGGTTTAAGGTCCAATGCTAACATTATTTTTTCAAATTCCTAAATAAAATATAGATTGTCTTAAAAACTATATGCATATACAGTCAACTCGTGGTATAACGAAGTTCAATAGAACGAAAACCTAGATATAAAGTATAAAACTGTTGGACCCGTGATATAACGAAAAATGAAATGTATTTTGGTCCCCTCGATATAACGAAGATTTTTTGGTTAAAGTTCACGCAATCTATCGAATTTTTACAATTTTGGAGGTTGATACTCCACGTTTTACGAGTTTTTTTGGGCTATTATTATGCGATAAGATAATGTTCATGTATCGTTTATATGATACACGTCTGTTAAATATAAATATACATTTTTTGCTATCGACAAAGATTTGGCTATCTGTGGAGTTCTCAATGACGATGAGATTTTGAATAAAGCTGATAACGAAGAAGAGTGTTCTGAAGATTCCCCGTAAGCTCGAATGAAGCAAAATTAGGTCTCCGCACCGTCTTAAATGTTTTATAAACACATGATATTGATGACAGTGTATTTTGTAATATTCTAAATTTGGAAAACACTATTAATCGCGCAAGAGCAAGTGGATACACACAATAAGAAAAAATTACTGATTTTTTAAAAAAATAAATAAGTATGTAGGTATGTAATTATAAAATATAATAAAATCTAAATTTTCTTTTAAATATTGTTTAAACAATTTTTTTTGACTTATGCTTTTGATATAATGAATTTCGATGCAACAAACTTTTTGCTCGGTCCCATGAAATTCGTTATATCGTGAGTTGATTGTATATACAGAGGAACCTCGATTATCAGTGTTCACAATTAACCGTGCTCACTCTTCCAAAATAAATTTGTCTCATTCTATCTATCAAAAATGTTTCGCCTGAAAAGTTTTATTAGGTTGGAAGAACATATTTTTATATTACGCACATTTACTCCAGATAATCGAGGTTCTCTGTACATATATATAAATCATATAATTTAATATTATATAAATATAATATAATATAATATATATATGTATACGTGTGTGTGTGTGTGTCTTACCAACAATATGAATAATTCAGGTTTATGCAAATTGCTGACCTATTTTAGGTAATGTTAATAAAATATATGATTTTCAATATTATTTTACATATAACCTAGGTATTTTATAAAATACCTAAGAATTATGGAAAATTCCAAATTTTTTTTGGATAAAGTAAAAAATATTTTATTATGTTATATTACATTAAGATTCTTATAATTATTATATATTTTTACTCATATTACAGACAAAATTTAATTTTTATCTATTATTATATTATTACTATTATATAAATATTTTACTTAGACTACTATTTACTTATTATAACATGTTGTAGAAAAGTGACATTTTGAAGTGCATAAAATGTTATTTTTAAGGCAAATACACTTTTTATTTTGACACTTGGACTTACAAACACATTTTAAAAATCCTTGGCCAATTCTTGTTCATTGAATTTTTATCAACTCATTATACTGTTCATCAGATAAAAAACAAGTATTAACGGTCAAATTGTTAAAAAATTTTTGTAGTTTATTATAAAATTTGACTTTAAATAAATTGTGTCCATAGTTGCAACACCAGACATGAAAATGACGATATTGTAATACAATTATTAGTACGTTCAATATTGTACCTCAGAATTATTATTATAGTAGTAAAAGAATCATAATATTTATTGTGTTAAATTGTGCACACACATTTATGATAAACGATAAGTAAAGTCATTGGTAATAGGCGATGCCCAATTTTGTTTATTTTCATCACATTGCCTACTCCACATTTGGAACTATACATAATATCTAGGCAAAGCTCGTATTATGTATATTGCTGAGTGATTTTTATCATTTTATATAATGCCTAGACTTTCTGCAAATATCGGATTATCCATATTGTCAGTAACATATATATACATACAATCATAAGCTATTATCAAATAAACAATTTTGATAATTATCAGCAACAAATTTCACTACTTCAATTACCTGAATATTGGTTTGATAATCTTCCAACTCAGAGTAACTATACAACTCTGCCATTTCACAAAGATGTGTATCAGTATCTCCATAATTATATTCAAGATCAGGACAGTCGGATTCTTCCTGAAACATTGAAGTTTACAATAGACAACAGTTGAATTAATGATTATAGAAACACCATGAGGCACATATTTTATGAAATTAAGATATTAGTAAAAACATACACTATTCATGTGTTTCTTTGTTGAATGTAGAATAACTGATTATTATTATTAATTTATCTGAAAAAATAGTATAAATAAAGACATTTTTATACTGAACGCATAGAAACACATGAATATTTTATGTTTAATAATATCTCAACTTATATGTGACTCAAGACGTTTTTTGCAATCATCGATTCAGTTAATATATTATTGTTATAATATGAAATTAAGTAAATAAACAATTCAAAATATAAGCATCTTACTTCGGAATCCTGTTTCTGTTTTCTATTTGCCATCGATTCTTTTAACTTTGGAGTAGTTCGTTTTATATTAAAAACATCCATTGTAACAAAGATACATAAATCGCAAATGTTAATTATAATTTATGAATATTGTTATACGCATAATCAAGTTCTCGTCCAAAAGATTGGTTTCATCTTAACTGTACTATAACACCAAACAGAACAAAAAAAAATTATCCAAATTAGTATCCAGATTAATTCTTTTTGAAAAAAAAACTTTAGAAAACATAAAAATTATTGACGAATATGTTGTATCCTATTACCTTCAGTACATATTAATAAAATTAAAACTTGTTAATATATTGGACACTTCGATCATTATACTATTATTATTAAAAAAAAACTGTTATCAATATTATTGTTAACAACCATGAATTAAGATAGTATCTAATATTATCTTAATTCATGTAAACAACACTTATCAATATGTTAAGAGTATAACTCCCATACAAGGTGTGTATATATATATCCATCATGCTCCCATAGTATATCACAGACTAGGATAAATAAAAATGTGATCAATGGTATCTCCTAAATCCTAAAAATATAAATTTGTAAAGAAATATCATAATATTTTATTTGTAGAGAAGTTAGATTATGGACAGCATAAAAACTACGATTTCGACAATGTAGTAATAGTTGAATTATATTATTTAATTATCTACAACGGTGATAAAAACACAATATTCTATCATTGATTAAATATACGAATTATTTTTAATCACTAATCAACGGTCGTAAAAAGATTACGAAATTGTTGTTTATGCGTTAAATATCATGGATTAACAAGGCTTGGTTATTTTTAGCTTAGATTTCACTAAATAATAAGTAGATACCTACTGTACATGTTCTTCAATAAAACGAAAAATAGTTAAAAACAGTTTACTATAAAATAAATAATACAATTGGTGATTTATTGCTTTACATTGTACAATATTTTTCCCCTTTAATATTTAGTCTCGAAAACAATACACGTCCACTAAAAATAAAATGATTTAGTTTAGAGAAATTACCTATTAAAATTAATATATATTCGCTATGATGTTAAAAAAATTTTTTAAGTAAAATAAATCAGTAATATTCAGTAAATACTGTGTTGTATTTGTTTAACTTAAGTCAAACTTTATTATTTAATACAGGTACATTGAAAATGTAAAGAATTATAATTATCATTATAATATTATATACTTAATAAAGCTAAAATTTAACTAAAGTATAATAAATTAGTATAGAATTAAATACAATTAAATTTAAATTATTAAATCATAGTGCAATATAATATAAAACCCTCCATTATTTATACCATAACAATTTTTTAAGTTTTAGAAATATATAGGTATGTACTACTTAGCTACTGTACTTGTATAATTTTAGTGGACATGTGCACCACCTTTAACCAGTTATTATAATGAAGTTGTAAAACAAAATTGTCATATTGATTATTGTTATTACTTATTATTACTTAATATTCCCTAACTTAACTTCCCGATAATTAGTTAGATATTTATTATTAGTGTTATTAAAAAAACTAATTTGTTCATTTTAATAACAAAAATGTAATTAATTGAAGGGTTTAAAATAAATAAATAAACATAAAATATTTAGAATAACACTAAAAATCAAATTAAAATAAAAATGAAGAAAAAATTAGCTTTGAAATTCTATGCATCTACAAGATAGTATAATAACCTTAAGTCTTAATCTAATATTAATACTAATCAGTGATGAATAAGATAATTGTACATGAATTTGACTTATGATTACTAATAAGTATTCATTATTATGTTAATGCCACTAAACTACAACTTTATACATCACTGTAAAAAAAAAATATGTAAAACACATGATTTTACTAAAAATATAAATTACTTATAACTATAGTCATTAAAGGTAATATTTTATAGTCAATCAGTTTTTTGAACTTCAACTGTAAGACTTTAATACGCTATATAAAAAAAAAAAAAAAAGTAAAACCTTTTGATTTTATTTACTGAATGGGTACCGTTTAATGTATAGTTGCTACATATGTTAAAAATATCAGACAGAAATAAAAAGTATTATATAACGTCTTTCAATTTCATATTCTTATCCCATGGTAATTTTAAGTAAAACCCTTGACATTTGACCAAAAATATGTATCAATTTACCATGGAAATATTATATATCTGCCAACGTATCAGAGATTACATGGTCCAAAAATGTACATATTATTTTATATCACATTTGTGTATGCATTAATTGTTATTAATTATCTTGAAATAGATCAAAATGAACACGTTCCACTGGTCCATAAAATAATTCACTGTCCGCAGTCGCCAATCGTGCATCGGAATAATTAATGATCCGACGTAATTATGTGTTGTATTGTACCGTTGTAATACGTGTAATCCATACAGTCCTTATGCGCGTGTGGACGTTTAACACATTAAACATTTAAGCGCATACTTTAACAGAACGCAGCACGCGACGAGTTTCGAGATGGGAATCGTTTGACGTGATAGCGTTTATTGGTGACCGCCACATAATACGCATATGCATTATATCACGGCTTGCATTGCATCGTTCGCGCAAACTGTGATAACATTCTACCTATAACCGTGCGCCTCGGATTTACAGCCATGGTGTGAGGGGAACGGTGCGGAAGGGAGTGATTAAAAATGACAAAAAACTTTTCGCCCCGCGAACCAAGGTGAACTGGTCGGACGGACGGGCGCGGCGATGACAAGCGCGCGCGCGACGGCGTCGGCGGTGGGCAACGCAAGCAGCCGGTGCGAACCGTCCACCGGCGTTGCGGTCGGACGTGATAACCGTGTGACGTCACCGTCGTGCCACACTATCATTCATTGTCGTCCGACGGGCGATTACTGCGGCAACGGCGACCTACTAAGTGTCCACTACTGCCTAGGGCCAGTGTACCGTTACTCGCGTAGTACGTGCCGTTCTCGTCGGCCGCCGGTCGTCTCCCCATGTCACTGTCAATGGTGTATCTCGATTCCTTGAGCTGCTACCACCGCTTTTCTGTTTGAACCGCAATCGTTAACGTTAGCTGGCGAACTATTGTGTCCGTTGACAGGTTTAAACGTGAAATACATATTCAGAAGTCAAGTCGCCTCGCTTGAATGTTTCGTGAAACGCGACCATAATAGACGCGAACTCGCTCCTCTCCAGTGCCTCTGACCCTTGCCGTTGCTGCTGTTGCTGCTGCTGCTGCTGCTGCTGCTGCTGCTGCTGCTACTACCACTACTGTTATTGTCCCAAATCTAGACGTGTACGGTCGATTTTGAGTCCTAGTGACAATAATGCAATGTTCGATATAGGTGAGCATAGACGACAATAACTACTGCGACCATTGCAATCACCACTATCACCATCTACTACTTAAGTAATTGGTTACAGCACTAATAATATTCATCACTTTTAAATATTATTTCTAGGTATGATCGGTCTTCACCGTCATTTTATGTGAATATAAGCACAGTTCCTAACGAAGTAACGTTCATGCGTTTAGATATTTCGGAGATGGGTGATCATGCGCAGAAATATGCCAATGATAATGACATGAATCTCAAGAATTCATTTTGGAAGAAAAATATTAGAAATCTTCCTGGAAGGTACTTGTTACATTCAACTTGTAGATCATATAATTGTTTATATATATATTTAATTGTTCATAAATACTTATGCTTTATTTATTTTTATTTTAATTTTACTATAGAGCAAGTCCTAAGAAAGAAAGCAAATCTGTATCGTCATCTGCATCAACATCATTTGATGATTTTCAAGAAAGTGTTAGTGATGCATGGGAAATTGAAACTGAGGATGAAATACTACGTATATCTGGTAAAATATTATTTAATTTTTTAGGTTCAATAAAAAATAATAAAACTTATATTAATTTGTAAAAATTGTTGTTTATAAATAAGATACCTTTAAAACTGAAAAAGTTTTTTTCATATTTTTTAAATGGATTCAACTTTTTTACATTGATAGTCTGAAACATAAAAAAAAATCACTTAAGGTTTTAATTAATTTAATATTATCAAAATGCATTTGGTTCAATTAGTTTCATATTTTATTATTATTTTCAAAAATCAATAAATTTCTCAGTTATAGGATGTCATTTATTGAATTCTTGTAAAATGTATCCTTCATGAACTCTGCAAACATAGATTTTATTAATTTATCAGATGTACCTGTAATTTGTAAAAATGATATATTCATAAAAATAATTTTTTGGTCCTGGGTAGAAAGAGCTTATGTTAATTTTATCAACTTTTCAACATAGCAATTTGAAAGTTGGAAAATTTCTACACTTTGAGTATTATAACTATAAACATTCTAGAAATCATTTATGTATATTAATTGAATTTTAAGTACATTTACGACTTAAAATTTTTGAATTTAAAATTATTTATTGACTTAACTGAAGTTATGCCATTTGAATTTCACTTTTTCTGACATATTATTTTAACAGCTTCCAAACAGATGATTATCAGGGTTATAGTAACAAAGTCATTCTTTTACAAACTAACTATAATATAACCATATTCATCTAAATTCAAATGTCCTAAACTGCCCAATAAAACATTATTGAGTATGTTTTTACTTTTTATGTACAAAATTGATTACACTTCTCTTATAACAAAGGAAAACATCACTATTGAATATAATTTTGTTTGATATTGTCGTTTTACAAATTTTAAAAAATTAAATACATATTACAATTATATTTATATTATATTGATTATAAAATTAATATACTCATATTTATGTCTGTTTTTAAAATCAAATAAAAATCATCTTACCTCTTTATGTATTAATTCTCTTTTATTGTCAAATACAATAGTATTTATTCAAGTTATACGCGACCTTCATACCTTTCAGACATTATAAAATTCAATGTTTTTTTAAATACTTTAAAGTTTAAAATAAAAAAAAAAAAAATTGACATAACACAAACTCAGAACAGTATATCAGTTAAATTGAGGAATAGTATATTGTATATTATATTGACGGCAATCGTAATTCTTAAGAAAGTGTTGTTATTTCCAAAGTTTTTCTATATAGATTGTTCAATGTAATTTATCTTATAATTTAATTATTAAATATTATTTATGATTAACATGAAAATGTGAGATAGTTCTCATCTATAAGCCCAGCTGAAATAATTATAACACGAATATTATGATTTGCATTTTTTATTTCATTAAGTATATGAAAATATTATTTTAATTTAATAAATATGTAAAAAAAATTATAATAATAATTTTATTGTTCATTTTTTTATGCAATGTAACAAAAAAAGTTTGGAAACTTACTAAGTACTTATAAATATTGAGTATGCTCAATCATGACAAAAAAAGTAGGTAAAAATGTGTTGTAATCAACTGTATTGTATTAAAACTGCATTATCTTGAATAATTTAAGAATAATGAATGGCTTTTGTTATCTATATTGTTAAATGATCAATTAAAAACTTAAATAATGATTTAAACTAATATTGATAATTGCTATGATTATGTTTTAAAAATCAAATAAAATGTATATATTTTGAAAAAATATATTTAATATATTAAGTTTAAACTAGACTCAGTGTTTTATATAATTTTATTATCTCTGAAAATTTAAAAATGTATATTTTTTGTGATATAACTATCAATAAAAACAAAATATTATTTATGAATTAGTATATTGAATGAAAATATATAATAATATATTAGTACAACTAATATTATCATTAAAAAAATGGTCACTAATTTATGATTAAAAAGCAGTGTTTATAAATTCACATATTTTTTTTATGTATTAATTATTTTGGTCAATAGTAATAAATAGTAATCAAATATGATTTACAAAGTCTATATTTTAATTTTGCAAACTTTTTTCAAATTTTATCTTTATCTTTTTCATATATTTGTATAAAATACCTAAATAAATTTTTTTTTTGATTTTAATATTAGTTTGTGCATAAAAATAAAACAAATTTAAGGTAATAAGTGTATTCAAAATGTAGTTTTATTTGAATGAAAAAGTCTATTATATTATCATTTTCAACTATATAATTCATTATACATTTTAAAATACCTACATTTTTATCTATTTTACTAGCATTTTTATATTTTTGAATATTTACTAAGTAAAAAAAATAATATATATATATTTACTTTTTTAACAAGTTATACTCATATTTTTCACTTGAATATATTGAGGTACTAATATGTTATTTATTTAATCAGTTAGGCTTGTATAAATAAATTATATCATTAATAATAGTAATAATAATAATTAATAATCATTTTAATTAGTTAGGCATGTAATTTAAAATGTTTTTAATCAGTTATCATTTAACTATAATTTATAACTAAAATTTTATAAAAAATAATGTATAATAAATAATAGCTAGGTAAATAATAGTATTTTTGCTTTACCATTTACCATACATTTTGTTTATAACCTATTATAAATATTCTATAGTAATGTAAATCATTTTTAATTTAGTTGAGATTAAATTTTCATAGATATTTACTGTCCAATTATTTATTATCTATTACAATTGATTTTGGTTTATAATATTCAGTTGTTTTTCAGTATAGACAAGTTCGCAATAATAGTTTATATCCACCTATAACTTACCATATATACTTTTAAATAATAAGCTGATGTTTTTATATTTTAGATTACAAATTATTACTTCATAAATTAAAATATTTCTAAATTTTTAGTAAAATAAATCTATTATTTTATTTTTTATATTTAAAATTTATTTTTATTCTATCCGTTACAATGCAGAAACAATAAGAATAATTAATAAAAATAAATAGATAAATGTAAATAAAAATAAAATGGCAAATTTGACAATGTACTTCCCAGTAAAGGTACTACAGTATTTATTTTTTTTTATAATAATTAATTCTTTTTGGTCACATAAAATTTTTCCTCATTAGAAATTTAAAATTTTGTTAGTAAAACTATGTCTGTTTATTTATTAGCATACTGTTTATGTTGTCAATTAGTAATATTATTTAAATCTCTAATTTTATTTTGGGTTTTCAAATCATTGAATTTTCAGACGTGAAAATATCGAAGCGTGTGGCCCATTCTGCTGCTGTCAATGTAATTAATAATCATAAGGCTTCAATAGAGGAAATCCATAAATCAAAAACCTATTCCAATCCTGATTGTAAGTCTTATTATTTTAGATTTTTTACTGTTACAATATAAAATTGTACTTGTTAACTTTACATAATTTATACTTTTTATTTTTTGCAAAATTGTGTATGTACACCTTATTGTCACTATAAATATTAAATTTATGTAAAGAATTAAAATTGTATTATACCTACAAAAATATCCTTTAAGCATTGATAACTGGTTACTAAACCCTCATATGAATATCACCAGAGGGTCACAATATTTTATCTGTAGAAATTGAAATAAAATAAATTAAATGTTTATTTGTTCTATAAATTATTTGTTTATAATATGTATAAATGCTTATGTGAATTGATATTTTATAATGATTATTATATATTAATTGATTGTAGCAAAAAAAGAATCCAGTTCACAAACTAATAAAGAAACTAATAAAGAAAATAGAGTGAATTTTTTCCAGTAAGTTGTGGCACAAATATGATTTAAAGCACTCTATGAGTATAATAAATATTTTTATATTAAAGATGCTGATGTCGATTCCAACAAATTAATAAAATTCCAGATGTTACTTGAAAGTAAGTTATTACACCTAGAAGATTTGAAAAAACTTAGTTGGTCCGGTGTACCAGTAGAAGTGCGTCCTAAGACTTGGAGACTATTAGCTGTAAGTTGATTGTCACTGTAGCCTATTTAAAATATTACTAAATATTAATAATTATAAACATTAATATGGAAGTGTAAGTAAAATGACTCATTTAAAATGTTGTTTTAATTTTTATTAAAAAATAAAATATAAATGATCCATTTGTTATTTAAAATACAATATAAATTTCATATTATTTTCTAAGTTATTATTTTATTGAATAGGGGTATTTGCCAACTAGTTCTGAACGTAGACAACAAGTACTTGAACGAAAGCGAATTGAGTACGCGAATCTCCTCAAACAGTATTATGACACAGATAAAGATGAAGTGTATAAAGACACTTATAGGCAGGTTCGTCTAAAAATAAATATGATAATATTTTTAATTTCTTTAACATTTTAGCTTAATCTATTGCATTCTTTTTATTTTCTTAGATTCATATTGATATCCCACGTATGAGCACTCCACTTTTTCAACAAACTATAGTGCAAGAAATGTTTGAAAGGATTTTGTTCATTTGGGCAATCAGACATCCAGCATCTGGTTATGTTCAAGGCATGAACGATTTAGTTACGCCTTTTTATATTGTCTTTTTACAAGAATATTTTCCTATAGGTACTAGAAAATTGTTAATTTAATTAAAAACATTTATTATTAAATTTGCTTTTGTTTTAATTGATATTATTTGTTCAGTAAATATTTTAAATTATTGGTGTAATAGTTACTTGATTGTTATTCGTATATTGCATCATACATGAAGTGAAAAATAATGAATACTCTCGGGGGATGTATTAATGTTTGTTTTTTAATAATTTTTAGAAGAAAATATTATTGCTACATACAATATTTTTATTTTTTAAATTATATACATTTTTTTGTTAAGGCACAAATATTGAAACACTTCATGTAAGTTCATTATCAAAAGAAAATCGTGATTCTCTTGAAGCTGATTCATTTTGGTGTTTATCCAAATTTTTGGATGGTATTCAAGATAATTACATTTTCGCACAGCTCGGTATTCAGCATAAAGTTAACCAACTAAAAGAACTTATTCAAAGAATTGATGGTAAACACATTTTTTTTATATATAAATTGTTAAGTATGGACATTTTAATATTTGAATTATTAAGGTACATTGCATGAACATTTGATGAAACATGGAATTGACTACTTACAATTTTCATTCAGATGGATGAATAATTTATTAACAAGAGAACTACCTTTGAGGTGTTCTATACGTTTATGGGATACATATCTAGCCGAGTCTGATTGTTTTGCTACATTTCAGCTTTATGTATGTGCTGCATTTTTGTTGCACTGGCGGCAAGAATTACTAGAAGAAAAAGATTTTCAGGTAATGCACCATTAAAAATGTTCCTTATGTAATATTTTTAACTGGACTAAATTTTAGGGTCTTATGATAATGTTACAAAATTTGCAAACACAAAATTGGACTGATAAAGATATCAGTTTATTAGTAGCTGAAGCTTACCGATTGAAGTTCACATTTGCTGATGCCCCAAATCATTTGACTACAAAAAGATGATCATTTTATGACAAATTTATTTGTAGCACATCGATACCGCAATCCATATTTATTTTTATTAGTGAAAATGATTATATACTATTGTTTCTTATTTTGCCGTTAAATTTATTTATTTTAACCACCATTATTGTACACATAAAAATTCATAATTATAAATGATAATGTTAAGTGTATACATTATTGACAAATGTCAAAGTTATGTAGTTTATTCTTGTTTTTTATTTTTATTGTTATTGTACACCCACCAATACAGGGTGTTTTGATGGTTATTATCACAGAATGTGCATACTATATATAAATTTATTTTTTCATTACTATTATTATAATTATTATTATTATTATTTAATTGGTATTAGAATAAAAATTTATTAATAAAAACAAATTATGTTTTTATGAACAAAAAAAAAAAAAAGAACTAATTCATAATATTAGCAAATAAAATATTATTTTATTATGAGTGTTTTTAACATTTTAAAATATTGAGTGTTATTATGTGTACACTGAACACTGTTGAGCTGTACATTTTAACTAATATACTAGGCAACATAATAGTTGCCTAGTAAATATTTTTTGTTGCCTAAAGATTATATCTTTAATTACTGGGCGACAATGATGTTAGATATTTTTAATTATTTTATAATTTTATTTAGTAGTCATTTATTATGCTTGATTTTGTTGTTTGTTAATCATATAATTTGACTTTTTGAAGTTGAAACATTAATTATATTGATCATGAGAATATCTACAGTGGAAAACCAATAAAAATCATAAAATATTGTATTACATGTATCAATTTTGAATGGTATTAGTAGTTTCTAAGGTTTGAGAAATTTTCCAACTCTGATATTTTTTTTCTTATAGATTTTTCATAGTTTGTTCATGTTGATTTTTATCAATTCTGATTATATGCATGGATAATTTTTTTTCACTCACAGAAAATTCCTTAAAATATTTCTGCCGTTGAGTAAAACATTTGAGGGTAAAGAGAGTTGTGATTTTTCCTAATAAAACTTCAAAAATAGTATGGGTTGTAGAAGTGAAGACTCAGTTCGATAGGTAATGTTACGGTTAAATTGGAGATAAATTTAAATTTAGCACGGAGGAAAGAGAAATGTTTGTACCTAATCAGATAGAAGTTTGAATGATTTAGACTAAGCAAACACTAATTCTGAGCTCATTTGTGTACTAAGAAAAAAGAAGGAAGAGTGAAAATATATTTTTAGAACGAAAAATAAAATTGAATAGTTGAAAGTATCAAAGATCATTCTTTTGGTAATTTGCAACTGATGACACAGTATGTTCAAAAAATCAGTTTTCACTAATAAGAATTTTTTTTTACTATAATTCATATTAAAGGTTATAAAGTTTATATATTATACATCAGTCCATTGATACTAAAATCTTGCTGCAAAATAGTTTTATATCTATTATCATTAAATCAAGTTATGAAATGTTTTGTGACGTAATTTCTACAGATGACATCAAGGTTCTTGATTTATAAAATATAAAACAATTATTTAAAAAATAATACTTTTAATTGTTAATATAACACATAAATTATAAATAATTTTAGTAATAAAACTAAATTTTTTAATACTTACAAAATAATTCATAAGAAAACATTTTTAACACACATTGAACTATGTTCATTGATTTAATAATTTTAGTTTTAAATATTACACAAATATTAGCTGTAAATATTTACTAATACTCTAGTAGTCATACTAAACGGTCCTAGTAATTTGAAGTTAAAACAATCAGTCTTGAATTTTCATACTATACCTAAATAAAATCTATTTTTATTTATTTATTATATTTCAGTCGATAATAGTGATATATCATACTTAACACCACAACATTAAGAATTGTTGAATTCTCACATAATTCTTTCATTATCTCATCTTGGTTTATTATTCTTAACATAATAATCTAAAAATAAAAATAAGTCGTTAATAAAAATAAAACGGAAGAAATATATTAGAAATTACATTATTTAAGAATCGTTTGAATTTCTTGACATATCTGAGTCTGAATCATCACCAAAACTTTTGATTTCTGTATTCCATTTACATGCAACCATAGCAATTTCATCGGCAAAATTTTTACAAGGCAATTGTATAGGAAATCTCTCATCAGGTGGTAAGTCTAATGCAACTTTACGAACTTTATTTATGTATATATATTTTTTTTCATCACACTTTTCTTCTTCTGATAAATCATTAAATAGTGGATGTTTTTCCATCAATTTTTCCTCTCGTTGTTTCCATTCTTCTTGCTTATTTTTGAGGGCCACTTTTAACTCTAACATTAAATGATGATTGTTGGATTTATCAAATATTTCCTCGTTGCAGGATTTATTGTCTATTATTTCAGTTACTTCTTCGGAAATACCAAAAAATAACTCATCTTTACAAATTCCCTTATCTGGTTCAATAGTCTCTTTTTCTGTATAATCAACTACTTCAATTTGATTATTAGTCAAATTAACTTTATCTTTCATGTCATCATTACATGTCTTGAGACAATAAATTTGTAGTTTTGAGATTAGTTCATTAAAAATATTGACTTCTTTCACTAAAACATTTAATGTGCTATTTATATTATCAGTGCAATGAGTTGAGGTGTTATCTTCAATTGAGTCTTCCATAAACTTAACATGTACCATCATGTTCTGAAGGAATTGCCGAATACTGCATATCTTTAATTTTAAATCTGAAGTATTAGTATCTTTACCAGAATACTTATCGTGTTTCATATTATTATTTTTAAATAGTGAATAAATATTATATTCATCATATAAAACATCATATGAATTTGAGTAAACCTTTTCAATTTCTTCAATAGTTTCAATCAGACGGTTCATTTGTGAAGAGCTGTTGGGTGTCCATAGTACTGGACAAAAACATAATGCTGACAGTTTCAAAAATTCTGATTGCAATAAAAAATAAGTGTACTTAGCTTTCTGTAATATTATAGAAAAAACATAATTATTTATTTTAATATTATAACAAAATTATAAAGTAAATTAAATATTATACATGATAGTATAATTAGAACAATACCACTCACATTTATATTTTCTAAAGATGTATTTTCCAAATCTATTTTACAGTCCGTAAGGTATAAATATACAATGTTGGATATAGAATCTTTTAATGGAAAAAATTGATGTATTTCCGATATATTATGTATAAGATTATTGATCAAGTCTTGCATAACAGTTAAAAGTAGATTTTTCAATTCTGGCATAAGTAAATATATGAAAGCATTAGCATTCTTACTGGCATACGTGTAATTATATCTAAAATAAGAATAATATAAATTCAATAAAAAAGAATAATTAGATATTTTGTTAGTAAATAATCAATTTCATTATAATTCTAATTGTTTTTTATTAAGTCATTACCCATTATAGAGAGAGTGAAGATTGTTACACTCATGAAGGAAATTAGAAGTTTTTTGTATAAGCATCGATGATTTTTTCATTGACTCAATAGTTTTTATTATTGTTTTTTTAATCATTCTATTATGATTTAAGCTAAATAATATTTCTATAAACACATAGCCCAACCACATAAATAATATTCCAACTGCTGTCCATTCATTACAGTATTTTGGTAAAAATACATTTAGAACACCACAAAATATGGACAATAAAAGAAGATTCAAGCTGAAAATTAAAAATCTTATAATAGATATTCTTCAAATATAAATTAATTAATATTATATACACACACACACATACATACACATGTAAACATATATAAATATATATATACGAAACTGTGAAACATTCATATAACTACTATTCAAGGGACCACAAATAATCACCATTATTTAGTAGCAATTGCTTTATAAAGATAACTTTTAATAGAAATTATTTCCAGATGACTGCTACATAGAATTAAAATTTTGAAATACATATTTCATTTATTTATTTATAATAAGTATGGAGATTAAAAATGTTAAATAGCAATTACTTAATATTCTTCGATAAAGATTTTTTTTTCATAGTAAATAAATAAAATATTTTAAGAAAGTAACAATTTTTAATTTTTTTTTTGAAATATCATAACTTACCCATTTTGTTTTGTAAAAAATGTTGGATACTCAATATAATCTGATGGAATAAACTCTCTAATGAATGATGTATCTTCTTTAAACATAAGTTGACTTTCTAATATTATCTTGATTAATGATAAACACAATTCAAAATCCTTAAAGAAAAAATGTTAACTCAGAAGTACAAAAAATAAATAATATATAGTCTATAAAAAAGTAAAAATCAATTAATTAAGAGCAATATTAATATTAATTAATCAATATTTATGGTTAAAAATATGTTTTAACTTTTAAATTTACTTAAATTAATTGGCAGATTACTAACTTTCATATGATTTTTAGCTGGTCTGACAATTTTTTTTATGCATTTTGATTCTCTTGTATAACCCTACAATTAAGTAAAATTAAAAATAAATGATTTTTTTTTATTATTGTTCAAGGGAAAAAATATAAATTTGTGAAATAAAACAACAAGTTTACTCTTTAAAGATATAAACATAGAATTTTTTCGTCAAAAAAACTACATTATTATTTAAACATAGTTATTTGTTGATTAAAGTTGTTTGTTAGTGTGCTTAAATTTTACTATTGAGGTTTCAGACTTACTTTAGAAAAACAAAGCTTTTCATTGTTATTTTGTTTACATGAATCAAATTCTAAATCTGAATGTCCGACAATATTTAAATACTTTTGCAATTCTTTGCCCTGAAACATTAATGAACACAGCATAAAATGTATAAGTAAATGGACGAGGGATAAAAGCGAATATTCAATTTCTCAGTACTTACGGCAATAACATCTTCATCATCGACTTCCATATTTATTATACCGTACCTAGATTAAATGTATTTTTTACGTATTCTTCTGAATAGTATTTGAATTTGTGATTTCTTCTTGGAACTCATGTCCATATTCGGTATTTCGTTTTATCAAGATAGATAACAAATTGTAATCTCGTTATTAGCTAATGGCTGTACGAATGGAGTTATCAGTACAGTATCATAAATTATTAGAAATATATTAAATTTCATTATTTTTGGATGTCAATTAATATGATATTTTTTTTTCAACCATTTTTAGTAAAAATGGAACTTATGTCAATGGTAAGTTTTCATATGATCATCAAAGTACAACGCCTTATATAAATAATTATTATAATTCCTTGATTATCTGATTATTTCTAAATACTAAGTAGAATTAGATCACAAATTGGATTTCGTGACTAATTAATGACTTATTAATTCATAATTATAAGTAGATAATAAAAGTTATATACTTGTTTACTGTAAAATAGATTCAATTTTCAACTTATCATTGAATATTAAAACAAATAAGAAAAATATTAACATATATTTAATATTACGTCAAAAATGATTATTAGACAATAGTTATGAGGTAATTGTCGAATAAAAAAATTCGAATCAATCCTTAAAATTCATTTTTTTTTCCAACATCTGTGATTTCATATAATTTTTTTTATATGACAAGTACCAAATAACTATTGTCTAATAATGATTTTTGACAGTATATTAAAATGTTTTATTTTATATTTTTCTTATTTGTTTTAATATTACTTAAATATAATTTTATAATTTAATTTTAACTTTTTTATTTTTCAAGTGTTTAGGTGTTGCTAATTTATTTTTGTATTGATATTTATTATTTCCCCGAAATGACGTCGTTCATAAATAATTAACCATAATATACCATTTATATCCTATTATTATTGTTACTTGATATAATTAATTTAATAAAATTAATAGCATAAACGAATGTCGACTTGAACGATTTTATGATTTTATTTTAAACCCATCTGTGACAATATTCACATTATGGTTCATGAACGTAGAAGTTGCATAGATAGGTAGGTACTTAATTAGTTGTCATCGGCAATTATTTAAAGGTCAGTTATTTTTTGTGCAATTGAATAAATTTGATTTGTGAATAAATTATACCGGTTAAGTATGATATTATCTATGTGTTTTGTTTTACTTATACAGTTTGAGTTATATACTTATATTCTTCTTCAGTTGAATATTTCTTTTATTTATTTAATAAATACAAAATAAGTAGTTATATAGAACCCCCTATTCATATGTAATCTCACTATAGCCCATAGGTATAAAAATATTTGGTAGAGAGGTTGGAGGCGCTAAAAATAATTCTTGGTACCGGGCGTTAATTATGCTAGACACAGTACTGGTTAACTTTCAAAATATGATTTATTTAGGTAATTGTCTCGATTCATAAGATATTAAGTTAAAAATTCATAAAAAATAATAAACTATAAAATGTCTGTAAAAATGAAGCTAGATTATTTGTACCACATTTTATTTTTAATCATAATGTTAGGTATACTTATTATTTATATCCTAGAGAATATGTTTGTATTTATTAATTTCTCACTGCTAGGTAGTATTGTTTGGCTTATTCTTATTCCGTATAGCGTAAATAATGAATATTGATTAAAATATTGTATTAAAGAAAGTTAAACCCCCCTCCCATTCAAAATTCCTGAGCATGCCTCTGCATGACATATTAAATTTAATACAATATTGTTGTTTTGTTAATTTGTTTTATTATAAATGAATGTTATTACATGCCAACGGATTTCTTAGGAAATTGCACTCGGTAGGCGATCCACACATTACACATTTTATTTTATGAAATGTCCATACAAAATATTTTTTAATGGCAATTTTAAGCGCGAGGCCCTCGTTTTGCCTCCTCTTAACGCCGGCCCTGCCTACGATTGTATGTGTATATTTTTGGAATACAACTGCATATAAAAATATGTTAATTTCCATGCTAATACATTGTGTTGCCAAATTATAAGTTTCTACTCGTATTTGTATTTTCAAGCGATTATAATGAAAGTGAATAAATTTATATTCATATATACTTCTATAGCTCTATATATTTTTAAGAATAATTGTAAGAAACCGCTTAATGAATACAATCTGAAAGTAGTGCTTAAAATTACCCTTTTTTATTAAATTGTAATGAAGAAAAAAATTTTTTACATACACAGATATTTTTGACGAAATATTATGGTAGGTCCAGTTCCGAACTTCTGCCTAGGCAAACTAGACAGCTGTATAGGGACCTTTAGGTATAAGGGTCTGTATGGGACCCTTACCTTCCCGGAATCCGGGCTTTCGGCCAAATACAAAAAAAAAAAAAAAATTTCATATAAAATGGATCAATATGGAGAAATATTTTAATATTATTTCGTGTACCTATTGAATATTATTTATTTAGATTTTTTTTTTTTTTTTTTTTGAGGCTTAGATAGAAATAAAGTTATAAGAATATTATTAAAAAATAGTTAGAAACTTGAAAATTAATATTATCTTGCACTATATTGTTAAGTATGTATAAAATTATAATGTGTATCTGAATCGTATTTTTACATTTCATGGTGTTTATTAGTGATTATTTTTTCTGTTAAATTATTTTTATAACCATTATTAATAATTTAGTTAAGCTAATTGAAAAATATTTAAGATCCAATACAGAAAATAACAGACTTAATTTACTCTCCTTGTTGTACTTAGAGTCCGAAATAACTCAATCAGTGGACTACAGTGAAGTCATACGTTATTAAAAAAAAGTTGTTCGTATAACAATTTAATTTTGTCATTTAAAAATTATGTTAAGTAAATAGTATCGTAAAACTTATCAATTTTTTTCCATAATTTGTTCTTTTATATAAATATATATTATTTGCTTATTTTTTAATTAAAATAATGATATACGTATAATAATTTCTCATTAAAGTATGTTGAATACATAAAAATTAAAAGCAGTTTTTACTAAAATATATTTTTAAAAAACTTCTTTTTTTTCTTCTTCTTTAGTAGCTTTCTTTGGGCCTTGATACCTCGGCATTGGGTAAGCCATCCTATTTTCATACGTATATCGAAAAAATGAAAAGATACCGATTTTAAAGTAAAACTTTCTTGTAGTTATAGTTACTGTGTATGACTGTGGTATAAAAAAATCATAGCCACAAGTTTATATGAACATTGTGTTGTGACAATGATTAAATAATTAATCAATACGATCCAACGATATATTTAAAAAAATTGTTTTAAACGCATGGTTAAATTATTCAATTTTTATTGAAACCATTTATGGAATGTGAGTGAAATTATCAGCTGAGGGGTGATAAATAAACAGATACATTTTTACGCTGATATTATAAAATATAATCAAAATATTGTCATATTATCAGCTATGTAACATTTCATCAAATTCATAATTCCTCAGGTCAGTCAATGAGTTTTGGGTTACTTCAATGTAATAAGAATTTGAGTGACATGAGTATAAGCGATATAAGTATATGATGTGTAAGAACTCATATAATGAATATTACCATTACATTTTTTGAAAGTATACTAAAGCCCAGGGGCGTAGGTATAGATTATTAAAAAAGGGGGTTTTGGCCTTCAATTATTAGTAATAAGTTGACATGAAAAAAAATTATAAATATAGGTATATTTCAATAAACTTTTCGAAGAAATATTAAAGAAAATGCTTTAAAAGCGCTGTGAGTGGATGGGGAACTTGCGTTCTCCCATTTTAAGCCTTGTTTATAATACTATAGAGAAATATATATGAATACATGTGAATGCATGTATGAAATTCACCCTCCTCACCTTCCTATAAAGGGACGCCACTGATGTATATCATGATCTTTATCAGCATATCTGCTGCTTATCTGTCTCACCTCCATACCAAAACGATCAACCCAACCAATGCTAATTAGTCTGATTTTGTCTCCCTAATAGATTTTACGCCAAACCAGGGCAACGTACTCCCCGAGTTGGAAATCAGTGTACTAGAAAGATATTTTATTTAATATTTTTTATATTTATTTTTTATTTTATGAACACGGTAAGGACGTTATTTTTATTTTGTTAATAAAATAACTCAATGAATAATATTAAAATATTAATTTTTTAATATATCAGCACTAATATACAACAATAAAGTTTAAAAAATAAAATTATATATGATATAAAAAACAAATTAAATGGTCTTTAGTAAAAATGTAAATATAGTAATTAGTTTAAATAATAATGATAATAATAATTTATATCTCTAAAATCAATCATAATATTTAAGGATAATTTTTATTAACTTCTTAACTGGAGTACTATTAATAATTTAATATGATTAATATATTATTATAACTGTACTTATTTTTCAAACTCCTTGATTTTTCAATTTTTAATTTTTTAGTTAAATTTTTAATAAAATTAAGTCTTAAGATATATTTTATTTTTCCTAAATTATGTTAATTTCTCTTTGTTAAATAATGTTTAAGATAACTAATATATTGTTTTAAGTAGGTATTATTTTATATTTATATCAAGTATATATATATATTTTTAATTTAAAAGTATTAATAAATATTTGACGGGATAAAATAATTAATATTAATGAATCTATATTAGATTCAGTATTGTAATATACAAGATAAGTATGTTATAAATTCCTGTTTTCAATAAAACATAGTATATAATCTTATTATGCAAAAAAATATTAAGCTTATAACAGTAATAGATACTTGATATTTCAATTTTTGAACTTTTTACTAAACAATTGTTTTATAAATACATTTTAATTATGAAATAAGACTTAATCGTTGAAAAAATGAACTTAAAAATTTTCTTTTGATTTAAATTGATTTGGAGCAACTTATCTTAATAAATGGTAACATATTTTTCATAGGTTCATACATTTTTAAATACCTACACGGATGAAATTAAGATAGGAAAAATAAATATAGCTTAAGAATTAATTTAATTTTAATTTTAACTATGTACAAAAAAATAAAAATTGAAAAAATGGTCGATGAGTTTCAAAAATAAAAGCAATATATTTATAGTATTAAATTATTAAAAATACTCTAGTTTACAAGTTAATAAAAATTATCTTAAAATATTAAGATGGATTTTAGAGGTATAGATTATATGAAATAAATTATTATTTTTTTAGTTAGTTACTAGACATGAATTTTATAACATAAACAGGTAATAAATATTCCTTTGTATTTTGTATCATATATAAAATTTTATTTTAAAAACTTTATTTTTGCATATCAAGACATGATCATTTACATTGCATCAAGATGAATTTTTTTTTTTTTGTCAGTCTCTGGGTGGTAAAACTGGTTTGTAAGATGATAAACCTCTATACGTGTACTTTCGTTTGTTGGCTGGCTGGAATAAAAATGATAGATTTAACAATACATATATGATATAATTTATAAACTCAGTTATTATATTACGAATATGAGTAGGTAACTACTATATTAAAATTATAATTTTTAGTTTATCCAATATAGTTTTCATTATAATAAAATCATTAAAAATGATTTAAATTAATAAATATAAAAAAAATTTTTTTAAATACAAATATAAGTGATAAATAGAAGAAAAAAATCTTGTTATTTATCCACATTTTAATGTATATTAATTATAATATTAAATTAAACATTGTATATTTTTATAAATTTAATATAGTTCTACCAGTATGCACCGAAAATGTTCTTATAATAGTTTTTACGGATCAGTACTATCAGGGACGGATTTAAAGGAGGGTCCAGGGGGCCCAGGACCCCGGGCCCCCACAAAATGAGGCTTCTTCTCAGTGGAATTTTTTTTACATATTTTATACAATGTATAATAATAATAATTAATATTGTGATACAAACATGATAATATAATATTTTCAAAATAGATTTAAATCAAAACTTCAATAAAAATGTTTAATCGTTGATACTGTCATAAATATATAAATAAATCTTATTATTAATATACTTGTATATTATAAATTCATAAAAATATGTTGCGAGTTTACAAATATAAATTTAAAATCGATTATTATGGACATACAGAGCATAGAATAATCCCGATTGAATAATATTCGTAATTTGGTATGCTTTTAATTACTGATAAAAAAAACCAGTTATAAATAAACACATACAACTTGTGTAGCAAGCCGCCTAGCCGATATTGTAGATAAATACAACAATACGTACCGATTAAGTTATAAATAAAAAATATGTGATAGCTGATAACGTAGATAAAGATGACAAGGTGAGATATGAAAGACTGTTTGAGGTTTTACGAAAAATTGATATTGATGGAAAAGACCTACAATTCATAACGAATTTGTATTGGCATCAACAAGCTAATATTAGAATAAATAGCACACTTTCTAATGACTTTAAAATTCGAAGAGGAGTTCGACGAGGGTGTATCCTTTCGCCATTGATTTTCAATCTATATTCAGAAAAAATAATGTCAAAGGCCTTAGAAGAAGCAGAGGAGGGCATTGTTATAAATGGGAAAAATATAAACAACTTGAGATATGCAGATGATACCGTGTTGATAGCTAGCAACATCGAAAACTTACAAAAGATATTAGACAAAGTAGTAATAGCTAGTGAAAACTTAGGTTTACATTTAAATGTCCAAAAAACCAAATATATGATAATCGATAAAGAACAAAGCCCGGTAAATCTGCTTAGACTTAACAATGTCCCCTTAGATAGAGTACATCAAATTAATTATTTTGGACAATCATTGATAGTTAACTGGGACCATTCGCACGAAATAAAATGTCGTATAGAGAAAGCAAGAGTAGCTTTTATAAAAATGAAAAATATATTCTGTAGCTATCAACTAAGTATAAATCTCCGAATAAGAATGGTTCGTTGTTATGTATTTACCGTACTTTTTTATGGAGTAGAGATTTGAACTTTATCCAAAGTTTCGATCAACTGAATCCAAGCGTTCGAAATGTGGATATACCACAGAATATTAAAAATTAGTTAGTGCGATCACATAACGAATGCTACAGTATTGAAACGAATGAACAAGAATCTGGAATTAGTGACAACAATAAAAACGCGTAAACTTCAATACCTGGGACATTTTATGCGACATACAGAAAAATATAGTCTACTATAATTAATAATACAAGGCAAAATAGCTGGAATAAGGAGCCGTGGAAGACCACAAATTTCCTGGATGGACAATCTCCGAAAATGGTTCAATACATCAACGATATCTCTATTCAAAACAGTCGTTAATAGAGATCAAATAGCTAATATGATTGCAAATGTTCGATAACGAATACGGCACTCGAAGAAGAAGAAGAAATATATCATTATGTAATCGAAAAAAATATCTACTTCTAAGGTTGGGTCCAGGGCCCCCACTTTCCTAAATCCGGCCCTGGGTACTATGATTTTTGAGTAAATAATAAGTATTATGCATTCAATTAATGAAATCACTAAAATGTAATTTGAAACTTGACTATGAAAGACATTTCTTATTATTAAACTAATTTGTAAGTGTTGGTTGAAATCATGGAATCTTTTAGTTGTATAAATTATTTCATATTGAAAAATACAACAACTTAAGAAATTCGTATGCAATAATATTCATTTTCATTAGCTGATAGTTATACAATCATAACTAGCGTATTTAACACTTGTAAAATGTTTATTATGCCCATTTCATACTAAATTGATATAATTTTTTTGCCAGAAATTAAAAAAAATATGTTATTACACTTAAGTTAATCATAGGTAGGAATTAACATACTAGAAATTAGCTTAGTGGTTTAATTGCACTTTTAATACTCAAAAATTATTCAATGTACAAAATGGTCTAATTAATTAAATAACATTATCAATTTATGTGCATTATTTAGGTATATTATTTTTGTGCAACCATGTATAAATAACTTCTTTATTTTAAGTTTATTTTATTTAATTGTAATATGAAGTTTAAAATATATATTATATACATTTTACTCGAAAAAATTTAATTTAATTTCACATTAAGTTGTAAAACCACTGAATTAGATAATTTTGAAAATAAAATCACTCATATCTAACATAATTATTGTATATGAAAATTAATTTAAAAACAAAAATACTTTTAAGATCTCGAATGAGCACATCAATGTTTCATCAACAGATATCATTGCTGCAGCATTGTCAAATACCCCACAGTAATTTGGAGCTGAAAATATTGTGACTAGCTGCCTCTTGGCAAAGAACTCGTAACCATCCTCAACAACCTCAAAACAAAAATTTCAATTGTAAATATAAATATTTAAATGCTAGTATTTAATAACCTGATGAGCTCTGCATATAAGGTCAAAGTCATGTTTAATCAAGAATTTAGTCACAACCTCAGCACCAAATTTAAATGATACACCTCTGTCTTCATTTTTGCCCCAGCCCATTATACCCTAAAAAATTTACAATAACATTAATAATTATTAATAAATATTAAACATAAAAAAATAATAATAATACTTTATCAGGATCAGACCAGAGTAAATCACATAATAGACCTTGGTCAGATACATCTGTAGGCCTCGGAATCCGCCTAATTTGTTCCATTGATTCCAAATCGGGACTTAAACCACCGTGACAACAGAAAATATTTTCTTCTATTATTGCTGCCACAGGTAAACAGTTAAAACAATCCGTAAATATTCTCCATAGTTTAGTATTATATCGACGCTTGCCTAAAAAATAAATATTAGACGGTTAAATAATTTAAGTATATAACTTGAAATATTAAATTTAATAATTACATTCATCATAAAATCCATATATCCTGTTTATTCTAGCACATTCATGATTTCCACGCAGGAGGAAGATATTGTGAGGATATTTAATTTTGTATGCTAACAACAAACAAATCGTTTCCAGAGACTGTTTGCCACGGTCCACATAATCACCCAAAAATAAGTAATTCGATTCAGGTGGAAAACTTCCATACTCGAATAATCGTAGTAAATCAGAATATTGACCATGGATATCACCTCAAAAAGATAAATTGATTATAAATAGCATAACTCGTATTATTTTACTACTATTACTATTTTTAGCTATTTTTTTATTTAGTTAATATTTACATAAATTACAAAGTATGTAAATAACTGAACTTTCTACTGAAAAAATAATTAATCAATAATTTTTGATAGAAACAATAATGAACATAAATGATCATAAGTAATTCAATAACAGCTTTTTTTCATATCTTTTACAAATTTAATAACATTGTAGTTATTTTATTATTTTATAACGATTATATATGAATAGTTGATTTTATAGGAGATTAAACGTATAACTTGTTTTCAATGGTTTCCATGAATTTAATATAACTTAAAATATTTAAATAAAATAATTTTAAGAGAAAGAACTCGAGTGGTTCAGTTTTTGATTCTATAAATGGTTGATATAATAGAATAATCAAATTAAATCAAGTCATTTTTTTTTTTTTTTAATGCCTTAACAATTTTATAAAAAGAATTCAATTATTATGTCTTAAGTATAAGAATTAAAAATTTTATGTTGTGTTGACTACAATAAAGCTGTAGATTTTCGTGATTTATGTCGTTTCGTGAAAAAAAAAATAAAAACTCTCATAAATATTTTTGAAATTGTGGCTTAATTTTTTTTCATTAATCAGTAAATTATAAATATGATGAATTTTGAATTAAATTTTCTTGAAATTTTCGAAAAAAGCTAAGACGATTTATAAATAGCTCAAAAATATCTTTTGAAAATTATACAATCTATAGAAAACGCAATACGAGTATAAGTTAATATTCAGTGAAAATGTCAAGTCTCCACGATTCTTTTTTTTTTTCCTATTTTTTTTTTACGATTAATATTTTTTAGTTACGATAAAAATGAAAATTTGATTTTGTTAAAAATTGGTATGTCGTATATTTTGCTCATTTTCTTATAATTTTTCTTTAGTTTTTCGTAATTATTAAAAAAACTGTTGATGAATTCTTAAAGTAACTTCCTTTAAAATACTAACTAGACCACATTTTCTATTAGAAATCTTTTATGATTGTGACAATTGGAGTTATCTCTGTGTAAAGACACAAAAATAAGATAGTGGGTGACAAAACATTCAGTGATTATAAGTTTGAAGGTTCAAATGTCTGTCGAAATTTAAGATGTTTTTTTTATGCATTTTTTTCACAATTATTCGGAAAATGGTTGAGATTTTTAAAAAAATTATCATCTCAAAATACCAAATAGAACTCATTTTTAATATTTAATTTTATTAATATCCTAATTAATAATTCTACTGGTCGAAATCCTATATACAGACATTAAAAAAAACTCTCATGACAAAATCATTATCTTTTCACACATAACCTAAAATTAAATCTATATATATATAAAAATGTAGCCAAAAATGTATAACATTTCATCAATTGAGAACGGCTAGGCCGATTTGGTTCAAATTTTTTTTGATATACACAATGTACAGAGAGAATACACAAATCATGAGTGGCTGGCAGAAAGAGCAAATTTAGCAGCAAAAAATGTGGACGTCAACGAATTAAATCTTAAAATACAACTTTTTTTACCAGATGTCATACAAATCTGTTGATACAGTTTGCGACGTTACTGAAGCTGTAAATTATCCATCAGCTTTTAAACTCATTGGATTTACCAGGTAAGCCACCACATAATTTACAACTGAAGGTTGGACATCCGGTTATTTTAGTTCATAATTTGAACATATCACGATTGTGCAACGACACGCGATTAGCTATTAAAAAATTAATGAAAAATATTATCGAAGCTATCATTTTAAATGGCAAATTCCGAGGTGAAAATATATTATTACCACGAATCCCTATTTTACTCACAGATATGCCAATATAATTTAAACGCCCTCAATTTCCAATTAGATTGACATTTGCAATGATTATCAATAAGTCTCAAGGCCAAACGATGTCTGTCAATGGCTTAGATTTGAGCACATCATGTTTTTCACACGGATAATTATATACGTGTCGTGTTCTCGAACCATTCAGTTTGTGTTAGCAAAAGATGGGATAACAAAAAATATTGTACACTCTATTGCATTAAGGGATTGATATTGTTTTTTACTAATATTGTTATAATTAGCAATATATATCATTTTTAAGGATCAATTTTAATAAATTATTAAAAAAATAAATGTTTGATGTTTTTTCATTTTTATATTCCGTCACTATTCACAGCACTCCATACCTCTTCCACTTATATACCACATCCTTATACACTTATATTAAATTAGTTATTTTTTCTAGCAAAATATTCTCTATAAATAATTTATATGACACCACAACGTTTTTCGGGTCAGCTAGTTTTTATACAATTTATAAGAAAATATCCACATTTTGATGAAAATGAGTGCTAAATAATATTATGAGTGCCAACAACATGAAAAGTATAATACATCTAAAAGGAAAATCAAATGGATAGATTTTTATTCGTTATATATCTTTTGTTAAATACCTAATCAATTTATAAATAGATATTAAATATTTTAAAAACTATTATATATTTTCAATTTAAATATTTTTTTTTTTTTTCATAAAGATTTATATTAAATAATATAAAAGTGATAATTAATAAATCACATAAGAATCACTAAATAGTATATTAACTACTGTATACTGTACTAACTAAATGACTAATTAATTCTGTGTGATTTGCCATGTGAACATAATTATACATTTTTAATAAATAATTCTATAGATGAGTTAATACATTTTTAAAGAAGTTTAAAATTTACTTTTCGAAACATTTTAAAAGTTTCATAGCATTAATATCAACACAACACACCAAATATTGTACTTAAGGATTTTTGTGTTTTTGTTTTTTAAGATGAGAATTTATGAAACAAATAAAGTATGAATCACTTTGTTTAGAGAATTAAGATTAGTATATATACTAATACACACACACACACACACACATATATATATATATATATATATATATATATATAAATAAATACATGCATATATTTAGTATACAGATATTTAATTCACACAGTACATTAAAAAATTAATTTAATTAATTTTTAATCAGATAATTATCATAGATAAATTCAAAACTAATTTGGTGTGATATACTTACCACATATTTTCAACGGCGCTCTGAGTTCCAAAAGCATTGGCTGTGATAAAAATATTTCTCTAGATTTCAGGCACAGACCTCGAATTTCATTTTCGGAAAGCTGCACATTCCTTATGGATTTAGCACCACGCACTGTTGAAAATAACATAGAAAATCAACCGCCTTCGTACACTGAGATGGTGTTTCGACTAGGACGAAAAAGCGCCGATTAAGGAAAAACCCCGGAAAGTGACGAATGGCTTGACTCAGTTAGCTTACTTTCCAACAATCTCGATATAATGTCTCTGATGTTCAATATGTTACTCATTGTTTGGAATCGATTTGCGTTTTGTGAGAGATAAAATATTATTTTGCCGTTTATCCGTTGCTATTGATAATCCGCGTTTATGCTCAAGAGTAATAAAAAAAATGTTTACGTTGTCGAGGCGACCAAAAGGACCCGCACAGTGTTACATATTATTAATATTATTAATATATAATAACATATACTTATATAAATATAAGAATTGTAATTGCTTACGAAATACGTGTTACTCGAACTTTAATTAGCTACTATTATAACACATACTCAAGTGTTATTATTATTTTTTTTTTAAATAAAATAACCAATTATTACTAATTATTACTTATACACAATCATGTATATTTAAGGTTAATCTATCTCCTTTAAGCAAAACTTGAGTTGGAATAGAGAGTTATAATATTAATAATATTTATTATAAAATATTATAATATAATATTATAATATATATTAATATAATGTTATTATATTTTACTAATATTATTTACTATGGTAAACAAATAATAAACAAATATATTTTATTCTATTAATCTATTAATCAAAAATATCTGATCATACAGATGAATTTATAAAACACAAAAATATTTAATAATTAATTGTCTAATTATCCATCATCTCAAATTTTATAAATTAATAATCATTATAGACTTGAAATATTTCTAATTATAAAATTTATGTAATACTCTTTTTAATTTATTAATTTGATAATTTCATTCCATATTTCTTACATTACATTTTTGAAATTTGAAGTTAAAAATGAATATTATTTTATTATGTGGTATCTACCGACTTAATTAATTCTTTGTTATAATATTTTTTTATAACTTCTAAGTATAATTTATTAATTTGTATATGTATATACACTATAAGCTTAGCTCCATTTGTATAATCCATGATAAATATATATCACTTATAGACAGTGCTCGACTTGGCAAAATTAAAGAAGGGGGACTCTATTTGCTTAAAAAAAAATGCGTCTCCAAAACTTGTTAAGCGTTATAATAATAACATCATAATAATAGGGGGACGCTCAAATTTCTAAAAAATAGTAGGGGTACGCCGTCCCCCTGCGTTCCCCCTCAAGTCGAGCATTGCTTATAGAAATAAATTCAAATAAATCGGTGTAATAGTATTAAATATCTATATATCAACATAAATAAGTGTTTTTTTTTAAAAAGTATTTTGTTTTGTTTTTATATAAAATAAAAAATATTTGGTACTATGAATTTTTACTAACCAATTTTTTAATTTTGTACTAATAAGTCAACTATTGATTGATTCTTTAATCAATAATATTAATATTTCGATTATTTTAATTAAATGAATATCTCGATTACTAAGTTCTCGATTATCGAAATCAATAAATTATTATCATCATTAGTCCGAATATCAAATTTACAGTAAAACATTGTTTATTATTTTCACCCAAAATATATTTCTATATTGAACTAAATCCTCAAACTCCTCTGAAAATACTTTAAAAATAAATCACTAATAATTATTTTCTTTAAATATAATTTGTATGATTCACATTGTTGAATACACAATAAAATAGTATACAATAGTAGAACATTTAAAAATATACACTAATCATAGTTAATATGTAGTTAGTTTTCAAGTTAAAATTTATCCGTATAAATATTTAAAGCTAATGTGTAAAATATTTTCGCACTTTGACTGCAAACTGTCAGTTTTGGGAAACCATAAAACTGACGATTTACGAACTGAATTGAATTAAACATATTTGTCTAATATGGTTGGAGTTTGTAGGATTTGATTTGTTAATAATAATATATAACTTTAATGGTTTTGTGTGTATAATATTAATTTTTTATATTTTTGAATAATAAATGACATATTTTATCACATGTTAATATCTCATTACAATGAAATAATACTCTTCTCCTTCGCATTTCTTTCAACTATTTGAAATCTACCACCCTTGTCCTAAACTATAGGCGTAACTTGGAAATTTAATATGGGGGGGGGGGGGGCAAAAATAATTACATATCTAACAAAAAGGGTGTCTGAGGCTAAATGCCACTTTACTACCTACATATTATTATATAAAATTATTCATTTTCTAACATTATATTAGATAAGCGAAAATTTAAGATTTAAAAAAAAAAATGTTATAGTAATAGCTATAACCAGCTGTTTTGTACTTATTTTAAAACAAAGTATGTTAAATATCAGAGGGGGCACTTCCCATCCTAATTTTTTCTAGGGGGGAATTGCCCCCCTTGCCCCCCAGTTTACGCCTATGTCCTAAACCTTTATTTTTCTCGATTTTCTACATTCTCTATGCACAAACCAACAACTATCTCTTTTTTGGGTCTTCCTTTTCCTTTTTACCCTTCAATTTTTATTTTTATTACCACACTTATTGCTTTAGTTTCCTCTCGCCTTATCGTATTTTTGTAAAAGTTGTAGCTTATGCAATAGTAAGAACATTAAAATATCTATAGTTGACTTTAAAATAAAAACTTTGAAAATAACTGAGTCAATAATACTTTTATGCACCTTTAAATTATATACTTACTCTCAATAAATTAGTGAAATAAAAAAAAGAAGTAAGATTTACTATTGAGTTTTTAAAATATTAGAATTAAAAAAAACTCATAACACGCTTAAAAATTAAAAAATTAAAAAAACCTACCAACAATACACAGATAAAGTTTTTCTCTTAAAGTATTATATAAGTCAGTTTACTCTACTATTAAAGCTAATATTGCTACATTTGAACTACTGAATGAAAAATGGTTATGTTGTATGTGACGGGGATAACATATGCAGGTGTGGCCTCCTCTTAAGATTTTATTTCTTGAAATTCTGATACGTGTCTTGTGAGAAAACCCTATGCATAAATAGATGCTAAATTTAATATGTATGTGAAAGTGTATAATTATAATCAATTAATCATACTTCCGTGTATAGTATACCAATATACATATGTATATTTGTTATTAAAACTTGATCACCTTCGTTTTAGTTACTTGGCAAATTATTTTATCGACTAATTTTTAGTTCTCTTATTAAGTAGGTACTTAAGTATAAAATATGTTCTAGGTTGTAGAAATTAATTTATTCGTGGAGCATTTTGATTTCAATTGAATTTGTATAAGATCTTTAATAGTATATATATAATATTATATAATAATTATATATGTATATATTTATTAATCTTCTGTGTATCGGAAGATAAGTTATTTCAACCTAACCACGGTCGCGAAATTGATGGTAATAATTTTGTTTTAGTATACAAAGCAATAAAAAATAAAAATCATTTTGTCTTTTACCTCCCTAAAAATAAAATTCTACGAGAATTTTTAATATAATAAATTATATCATATTAAAAAAAAAAAAAATTGAATTATAAAGGAAGGGCAAATATTTTGAGTTGCTTGTAGTAAATTTCTAAGCATGAAATAAATTGCGAGTGCATAAAACATTTCAAGGATATTTTTTAATTAAATCTACCTAGGAAACTATCAAGAAATACTAATATTTTTTGTTCTATGTACCCTATGTAGGGAATGAAGGAAGAAATAGAATCATAGAGATACATAATAAACATAAATTATATTTTTTTCTCATTAATTCTCCTATTCATTATATTACTACATTAGTTTTATTAATTTATTATTTAATCATTTATTTATTAATTTATTATATTATTACTCATTAATTATATTACTTAGTTTCTTCAGATTTACAATTTAACGACTACGTCTGGAACTGGAATTCTGGTGATTACGGGAGCATTATAAGCTACTTAGGTAATATTAACTGGTTCAATACAATTAATTCTAATTCTTATATCAATAATGATATCGATTTTTTTATACACCCATATTAATTATGCTAAAAATCAATTTCTAGTAAAAGTTCGCAGATAAAAATTAATACACCATATTTGATTTAGTAAAAAACTAAAAAATGTTAATAAAACGTAAACAAAATTTTAAATATATTTTTAAAATTTTATAAATACCTGAATCTTACATACATTTTCATAATCTTTGAAATCAATGTAAAATAATTAGATGTCATGAACTATATTAATTGCACACAAAAGTCAATCAAAATTAATCCTTAACATTTTTGGAATTATTATAATTTGCAAAAATCAAATAATCAAAAAATTACCTACTTTATCCCATTTTTATAGTATATATAAATTAAATTATTAATTAATTATTAATATAACTAATAATATTTACAAACTAGATAACTTTCTATTTTGCTGTAACTCTATAAACATATATATATATATAATGGATGTTTTCAATTAATTTTAGTTTATTTATTTAAAACAATCTACAGGTCTTGATGGTATCTCTGCAAGGTTTTTAAAAGAATGCTCATTTATATTGTCACCTATTATAACATTATTAATCTTTATAATCTGGTATTTTTCCTATTATTCTATCCATATATATGAAAATTTTCATTTTTATCTCAAACTTATAAAAAAAGAATTTAATCATTAGTTTCAAACTACAGGCCAACTCTTAAAATTTCAATATTTCAAAGGATATTCTCCAAACTGGTTAATAATCAATTATTTCCTTTAAACGAACGTTTAATTTCAAACGAACAATATGGCTTTTGTCCAGGGCAATCATCATTTACCAACCTAGCCATTTTTAAACATTTCATCTTATAATTTGTTAATACACAAAATCAAGTTGATGTAATCTATACGATCTTTGAAAAAGCGTTTGATTGAGTTACTAAATAATTTTGTTTTCTTATTTAAACTCAAATAATTTGGTTTCAACTATCTGTTACTTCTATGGTTCGAATCTTTCTTAACTAACTCACTTAGTCAACTAACTAAGTCTCAGCAATAACATTTGAAAATCATATTTTTAATCAAATAAACTTATCATCTGGTGTCCCCCGAGAAGAACACTTGTTATCATTCCTTTTTTCTATTTTCATTTATCATGTTCATAAAGTCATAAAAAATTCACAATAACCTTATATTTGTGAATGATACTAAAATTTATAAGAAAATTGAATGTTTTGATGATGCGATAAAACTTCAAGAGGATTTAATCAATTTATTTTATTAGTGTAATGAAAGTTATATCTCACTTAATATAGATAAATGTGCCGTCATC